AGAAAGAGAGAGAGAGAGAGAGAGGGGAAAGGGAGGGGGGGAGAGAAGGGTGGGAGGGGGGCTGGTGGTGCGGATGGCTGATGGTGGCAAGAGGGCAGCAGGGATGGGGAGAAGGGAGCGTAACGAGGGGAACGCAAAGGGCAGGGGGGGAGGAGGGGAGGGGCAGGGAGGGAAGAGGCTGAACGTACAAAGGGGGGAAACGAGGGGCATGGATGGTAGGAAACAAGGGCAGGGGTGCGGGAAATCAAGGGCAGGGAGGGGAGAAGCAATGGGTGAGGGGAAAACAAGGGAGGGGCAGAGGGGGGGGCAGGGAGGGAAGAAACGTGGGGCAGGGAGGGGAGAAGCCAAAGACAGGGGCATGGGCAGGCGGGGGCAGGGAGGGAGCAAAGGAGAGGCACGGAGAAAGAAAGGGAGGCGCGGGGAGGGGAGAAACCGGGCGTGGGGGGGGCGGAAAATGAGGGGCAGGGCGGGGAGGAGGGAGGGGCAGGGAGGGGAGAAGCTGAGCACACGGAGGGGGGAAAGGTGGGGCAGGGAGGTAGGAAGCCAAGGGCAAGGGGGGGAGAGTGGGGGAGCAGGGAGAGGGGGGAGGTGGGGAGCGGAGAAAGGCGGCGAGGGGCAGGGAGGGGAGAAACCAAGCATAGGGGGGCGAGATACGAGGGGCAGGGTGCGGATTGAGGAGGGGCAGGGAGTGGAGTGGGTCGGCGAGGGGAAGGAAGAGGCGTGCAGCAGAGGAGGGGAGGGGGGAGGAGAAGGTAAACGAGGGGAGCGCACGGGCGGGGAGGAGCGAATGGCGGGCGGTGGGAAACGGCGAGGGGGGCAGGGAGGGTCAAAAAGGCGGCAAGGGAGCGGGCACGCGGAGGGTGGGGGCGGGGGGGAGCGGATGGCATGAGGAGGCAGGGGGTGTGACTATGAAGGGGGGACCCGGGCAAGGGGTGTGTACCGGTCGGGGCACGGGATTGACGTGGTACGATCATACCTCGGCTACTACGCCGGATCCCATCAGAGCTCCGAAGCTAAGCGCCGGTGGGCGAGAGCAGTACTGGGCTGGGTGACCTCCCGGGAAGTCCTCGTGTTGTACCCATTTATGCCCCTTGCTCGGCACGTGCCGGGGGAGGGGCAAGCGGGAAAAAGAAAGGACGATTTTAGCGCGTCCGATTTTTTTATTTTCGTTTTTTTGCCCAAACAACGACTCAGCGGGGTGGGGGCCCCCCGGGGAGGCTTGCCCGTGCGAAGAAACGCCCCGTGCGCACCACCGTTGGGCGGTTGGAAGCCGCACACGGTCGCGGGGGTGGAGAGCGGAAACGGGCAGCCGGGGGAGGGTGGGGGCGGTTGGATGGGACTGGGGTGTACGGGGGGCAGGGGAGTTGAGGGGGCAAGGGGAGGGGCAGCAACGGGCAGGGGCTGGGCCAGCTGAGGGCACGGAAAAGGGGCGGGCAGAGGGTGAGCAGAGGGGCGAGCGATGCAAGGGAGGCACCATAGGGGGGAAACCAGTTGCACGGAGGTGGGAGGTGAGGGGCGTGCGAGGGGGTGGGAAAGGGGCAGGGAGGGGCGGAATGGGAGGACGTGGGTGGGGGGTGGGGGAGGGGAGTGTGCGTGTGTGTGTGAGAAAGAGAGAGAGAGAGAGAGAGAGGGAAAGGGAGGGGGGGAGAGAAGGGTGGGAGGGGGGCTGGTGGTGCGGATGGGCTGATGGTGGCAAGAGGGCAGCAGGGATGGGGAGAAGGGAGCATAACGAGGGGAACGCAAAGGGCAGGGGGGGAGGAGGGGAGGGGCAGGGAGGGAAGAGGCTGAACGTACAAAGGGGGGAAACGAGGGGCATGGATGGTAGGAAACAAGGGCAGGGGTGCGGGAAATCAAGGGCAGGGAGGGGAGAAGCAATGGGTGAGGGGAAAACAAGGGAGGGGAAGAGGGGGGGCAGGGAGGGAAGAAACGTGGGGCAGGGAGGGGAGAAGCCAAAGACAGGGGCATAGGCAGGCGGGGGCAGGGAGGGAGCAAAGGAGAGGCACGGAGAAAGAAAGGGAGGCGCGGGGAGGGGAGAAACCGGGCGTGGGGGGGCGGAAAATGAGGGGCAGGGCAGGGAGGAGGGAGGGGCAGGGAGGGGAGAAGCTGAGCACACGGAGGGGGAAAAGGTGGGGCAGGGAGGTAGGAAGCCAAGGGCAAGGGGGGGAGAGTGGAGGGGCAGGGAGAGAGGGGAGGTGGGGAGCGGAGAAAGGCGGCGAGGGGCAGGGAGGGGAGAAACCAAGCATAGGGGGGCGAGATACGAGGGGCAGGGTGCGGATTGAGGAGGGGCAGGGAGTGGAGTGGGTCGGCGAGGGGAAGGAAGAGGCGTGCAGCAGAGGAGGGGAGGGGGGAGGAGAAGGTAAACGAGGGGAGCGCACGGGCGGGGAGGAGCGAATGGCGGGTGGTGGGAAACGGCGAGGGGGGCAGGGAGGGTCAAAAGAGGCGGCAAGGGAGCGGGCACGCGGAGGGTGGGGGCGGGGGGGAGCGGATGGCATGAGGGGGCAGGGGGTGTGACTATGAAGGGGGGACCCGGGCAAGGGGTGTGTACCGGTCGGGGCACGGGATTGACGTGGTACGATCATACCTCGGCTACTACGCCGGATCCCATCAGAACTCCGAAGCTAAGCGCCGGTGGGCGAGAGCAGTTATTTATTAATAAGGGAAAGCAAATACAAGCCGATTATAATGGTTTTTCCAAGAGTGGGAAATTTTGGCATAACTAATTCGCTATGAGGACGGTATATATATCTTGTAGGAAGATGGGGAAAGAAAGAAGAAGAAGGAAGAATTAAGGAGTAAGAAGTAGTAGGAAAAAGAAAAGAGTGAGCAACACATATATACCCCGAACAACGACTCAGCGGGGTGGGGGCCCCCCGGGGAGGCTTGCCCGTGCGAAGAAACGCCCCGTGCGCACCACCGTTGGGCGGTTGGAAGCCGCACACGGTCGCGGGGGTGGAGAGCGGAAACGGGCAGCCGGGGGAGGGTGGGGGCGGTTGGATGGGACTGGGGTGTACGGGGAGCAGGGGAGTTGAGCGGGCAACGGGAGGGGCAGCAACGGGCAGGGGCTGGGCCAGCTGAGGGCACGGAAAAGGGGCGGGCAGAGGGTGAGCAGAGGGGCGAGCGATGCAAGGGAGGCACCATAGGGGGGAAACCAGTTGCACGGAGGTGGGAGGTGAGGGGCGTGCGAGGGCGTGGGAAAGGGGCAGGGAGGGGCAGAATGGGAGGATGTGGGTGGGGGGTGGGGGAGGGGAGTGTGCGTGTGTGTGTGAGAAAGAGAGAGAGAGAGAGAGAGAGAGAGAGAGGGAAAGGGAGGGGGGGAGAGAAGGGTGGGAGGGGGGCTGGTGGTGCGGATGGGCTGATGGTGGCAAGAGGGCAGCAGGGATGGGGAGAAGGGAGCGTAACGAGGGGAACGCAAAGGGCAGGGGGGGAGGAGGGGAGGGGCAGGGAGGGAAGAGGCTGAACGTACAAAGGGGGGAAACGAGGGGCATGGATGGTAGGAAACAAGGGCAGGGGTGCGGGAAATCAAGGGCAGGGAGGGGAGAAGCAATGGGTGAGGGGAAAACAAGGGAGGGGCAGAGGGGGGGCAGGGAGGGAAGAAACGTGGGGCAGGGAGGGGAGAAGCCAAAGACAGGGGCATGGGCAGGCGGGGGCAGGGAGGGAGCAAAGGAGAGGCACGGAGAAAGAAAGGGAGGCGCGGGGAGGGGAGAAACCGGGCGTGGGGGGGCGGAAAATGAGGGGCAGGGCGGGGAGGAGGGAGGGGCAGGGAGGGGAGAAGCTGAGCACACGGAGGGGGGAAAGGTGGGGCAGGGAGGTAGGAAGCCAAGGGCAAGGGGGGGAGAGTGGGGGAGCAGGGAGAGGGGGGAGGTGGGGAGCGGAGAAAGGCGGCGAGGGGCAGGGAGGGGAGAAACCAAGCATAGGGGGGCGAGATACGAGGGGCAGGGTGCGGATTGAGGAGGGGCAGGGAGTGGAGTGGGTCGGCGAGGGGAAGGAAGAGGCGTGCAGCAGAGGAGGGGAGGGGGGAGGAGAAGGTAAACGAGGGGAGCGCACGGGCGGGGAGGAGCGAATGGCGGGCGGTGGGAAACGGCGAGGGGGGCAGGGAGGGTCAAAAGAGGCGGCAAGGGAGCGGGCACGCGGAGGGTGGGGGCGGGGGGGAGCGGATGGCATGAGGAGGCAGGGGGTGTGACTATGAAGGGGGGACCCGGGCAAGGGGTGTGTACCGGTCGGGGCACGGGATTGACGTGGTACGATCATACCTCGGCTACTACGCCGGATCCCATCAGAACTCCGAAGCTAAGCGCCGGTGGGCGAGAGCAGTACTGGGCTGGGTGACCTCCCGGGAAGTCCTCGTGTTGTACCCATTTATGCCCCTTGCTCGGCATGTGCCGGGGGAGGGGCAAGCGGGAAAAAGAAAGGACGATTTTAGCGCGTCCGATTTTTTTATTTTCGTTTTTTTGCCCAAACAACGACTCAGCGGGGTGGGGGCCCCCCGGGGAGGCTTGCCCGTGCGAAGAAACGCCCCGTGCGCACCACCGTTGGGCGGTTGGAAGCCGCACACGGTCGCGGGGGTGGAGAGCGGAAACGGGCAGCCGGGGGAGGGTGGGGGCGGTTGGATGGGACTGGGGTGTACGGGGGGCAGGGGAGTTGAGGGGGCAAGGGGAGGGGCAGCAACGGGCAGGGGCTGGGCCAGCTGAGGGCACGGAAAAGGGGCGGGCAGAGGGTGAGCAGAGGGGCGAGCGATGCAAGGGAGGCACCATAGGGGGGAAACCAGTTGCACGGAGGTGGGAGGTGAGGGGCGTGCGAGGGGGTGGGAAAGGGGCAGGGAGGGGCGGAATGGGAGGACGTGGGTGGGGGGTGGGGGAGGGGAGTGTGCGTGTGTGTGTGAGAAAGAGAGAGAGAGAGAGAGAGAGAGAGAGAGAGAGAGGGAAAGGGAGGGGGGGAGAGAAGGGTGGGAGGGGGGCTGGTGGTGCGGATGGGCTGATGGTGGCAAGAGGGCAGCAGGGATGGGGAGAAGGGAGCGATAACGAGGGGAACGCAAAGGGCAGGGGGGGAGGAGGGGAGGGGCAGGGAGGGAAGAGGCTGAACGTACAAAGGGGGGAAACGAGGGGCATGGATGGTAGGAAACAAGGGCAGGGGTGCGGGAAATCAAGGGCAGGGAGGGGAGAAGCAATGGGTGAGGGGAAAACAAGGGAGGGGCAGAGGGGGGGCAGGGAGGGAAGAAACGTGGGGCAGGGAGGGGAGAAGCCAAAGACAGGGGCATGGGCAGGCGGGGGCAGGGAGGGAGCAAAGGAGAGGCACGGAGAAAGAAAGGGAGGCGCGGGGAGGGGAGAAACCGGGCGTGGGGGGGCGGAAAATGAGGGGCAGGGCGGGGAGGAGGGAGGGGCAGGGAGGGGAGAAGCTGAGCACACGGAGGGGGGAAAGGTGGGGCAGGGAGGTAGGAAGCCAAGGGCAAGGGGGGGAGAGTGGGGGAGCAGGGAGAGGGGGGAGGTGGGGAGCGGAGAAAGGCGGCGAGGGGCAGGGAGGGGAGAAACCAAGCATAGGGGGGCGAGATACGAGGGGCAGGGTGCGGATTGAGGAGGGGCAGGGAGTGGAGTGGGTCGGCGAGGGGAAGGAAGAGGCGTGCAGCAGAGGAGGGGAGGGGGGAGGAGAAGGTAAACGAGGGGAGCGCACGGGCGGGGAGGAGCGAATGGCGGGCGGTGGGAAACGGCGAGGGGGGCAGGGAGGGTCAAAAGAGGCGGCAAGGGAGCGGGCACGCGGAGGGTGGGGGCGGGGGGGAGCGGATGGCATGAGGAGGCAGGGGGTGTGACTATGAAGGGGGGACCCGGGCAAGGGGTGTGTACCGGTCGGGGCACGGGATTGACGTGGTACGATCATACCTCGGCTACTACGCCGGATCCCATCAGAGCTCCGAAGCTAAGCGCCGGTGGGCGAGAGCAGTACTGGGCTGGGTGACCTCCCGGGAAGTCCTCGTGTTGTACCCATTTATGCCCCTTGCTCGGCACGTGCCGGGGGAGGGGCAAGCGGGAAAAAGAAAGGACGATTTTAGCGCGTCCGATTTTTTTATTTTCGTTTTTTTTGCCCAAACAACGACTCAGCGGGGTGGGGGCCCCCCGGGGAGGCTTGCCCGTGCGAAGAAACGCCCCGTGCGCACCACCGTTGGGCGGTTGGAAGCCGCACACGGTCGCGGGGGTGGAGAGCGGAAACGGGCAGCCGGGGGAGGGTGGGGGCGGTTGGATGGGACTGGGGTGTACGGGGGGCAGGGGAGTTGAGGGGGCAAGGGGAGGGGCAGCAACGGGCAGGGGCTGGGCCAGCTGAGGGCACGGAAAAGGGGCGGGCAGAGGGTGAGCAGAGGGGCGAGCGATGCAAGGGAGGCACCATAGGGGGGAAACCAGTTGCACGGAGGTGGGAGGTGAGGGGCGTGCGAGGGGGTGGGAAAGGGGCAGGGAGGGGCGGAATGGGAGGACGTGGGTGGGGGGTGGGGGAGGGGAGTGTGCGTGTGTGTGTGAGAAAGAGAGAGAGAGAGAGAGAGAGAGAGAGAGGGAAAGGGAGGGGGGGAGAGAAGGGTGGGAGGGGGGCTGGTGGTGCGGATGGGCTGATGGTGGCAAGAGGGCAGCAGGGATGGGGAGAAGGGAGCGTAACGAGGGGAACGCAAAGGGCAGGGGGGGAGGAGGGGAGGGGCAGGTAGGGAAGAGGCTGAACGTACAAAGGGGGGAAACGAGGGGCATGGATGGTAGGAAACAAGGGCAGGGGTGCGGGAAATCAAGGGCAGGGAGGGGAGAAGCAATGGGTGAGGGGAAAACAAGGGAGGGGAAGAGGGGGGGCAGGGAGGGAAGAAACGTGGGGCAGGGAGGGGAGAAGCCAAAGACAGGGGCATAGGCAGGCGGGGGCAGGGAGGGAGCAAAGGAGAGGCACGGAGAAAGAAAGGGAGGCGCGGGGAGGGGAGAAACCGGGCGTGGGGGGGCGGAAAATGAGGGGCAGGGCAGGGAGGAGGGAGGGGCAGGGAGGGGAGAAGCTGAGCACACGGAGGGGGAAAAGGTGGGGCAGGGAGGTAGGAAGCCAAGGGCAAGGGGGGGAGAGTGGAGGGGCAGGGAGAGAGGGGAGGTGGGGAGCGGAGAAAGGCGGCGAGGGGCAGGGAGGGGAGAAACCAAGCATAGGGGGGCGAGATACGAGGGGCAGGGTGCGGATTGAGGAGGGGCAGGGAGTGGAGTGGGTCGGCGAGGGGAAGGAAGAGGCGTGCAGCAGAGGAGGGGAGGGGGGAGGAGAAGGTAAACGAGGGGAGCGCACGGGCGGGGAGGAGCGAATGGCGGGTGGTGGGAAACGGCGAGGGGGGCAGGGAGGGTCAAAAGAGGCGGCAAGGGAGCGGGCACGCGGAGGGTGGGGGCGGGGGGAGCGGATGGCATGAGGGGGCAGGGGGTGTGACTATGAAGGGGGGACCCGGGCAAGGGGTGTGTACCGGTCGGGGCACGGGATTGACGTGGTACGATCATACCTCGGCTACTACGCCGGATCCCATCAGAACTCCGAAGCTAAGCGCCGGTGGGCGAGAGCAGTTATTTATTAATAAGGGAAAGCAAATACAAGCCGATTATAATGGTTTTTCCAAGAGTGGGAAATTTTGGCATAACTAATTCGCTATGAGGACGGTATATATATCTTGTAGGAAGATGGGGAAAGAAAGAAGAAGAAGGAAGAATTAAGGAGTAAGAAGTAGTAGGAAAAAGAAAAGAGTGAGCAACACATATATACCCCGAACAACGACTCAGCGGGGTGGGGGCCCCCCGGGGAGGCTTGCCCGTGCGAAGAAACGCCCCGTGCGCACCACCGTTGGGCGGTTGGAAGCCGCACACGGTCGCGGGGGTGGAGAGCGGAAACGGGCAGCCGGGGGAGGGTGGGGGCGGTTGGATGGGACTGGGGTGTACGGGGAGCAGGGGAGTTGAGCGGGCAACGGGAGGGGCAGCAACGGGCAGGGGCTGGGCCAGCTGAGGGCACGGAAAAGGGGCGGGCAGAGGGTGAGCAGAGGGGCGAGCGATGCAAGGGAGGCACCATAGGGGGGAAACCAGTTGCACGGAGGTGGGAGGTGAGGGGCGTGCGAGGGCGTGGGAAAGGGGCAGGGAGGGGCAGAATGGGAGGATGTGGGTGGGGGGTGGGGGAGGGGAGTGTGCGTGTGTGTGTGAGAAAGAGAGAGAGAGAGAGAGAGAGAGAGAGAGAGAGGGAAAGGGAGGGGGGGAGAGAAGGGTGGGAGGGGGGCTGGTGGTGCGGATGGGCTGATGGTGGCAAGAGGGCAGCAGGGATGGGGAGAAGGGAGCGTAACGAGGGGAACGCAAAGGGCAGGGGGGGAGGAGGGGAGGGGCAGGGAGGGAAGAGGCTGAACGTACAAAGGGGGGAAACGAGGGGCATGGATGGTAGGAAACAAGGGCAGGGGTGCGGGAAATCAAGGGCAGGGAGGGGAGAAGCAATGGGTGAGGGGAAAACAAGGGAGGGGCAGAGGGGGGGCAGGGAGGGAAGAAACGTGGGGCAGGGAGGGGAGAAGCCAAAGACAGGGGCATGGGCAGGCGGGGGCAGGGAGGGAGCAAAGGAGAGGCACGGAGAAAGAAAGGGAGGCGCGGGGAGGGGAGAAACCGGGCGTGGGGGGGCGGAAAATGAGGGGCAGGGCGGGGAGGAGGGAGGGGCAGGGAGGGGAGAAGCTGAGCACACGGAGGGGGGAAAGGTGGGGCAGGGAGGTAGGAAGCCAAGGGCAAGGGGGGGAGAGTGGGGGAGCAGGGAGAGGGGGGAGGTGGGGAGCGGAGAAAGGCGGCGAGGGGCAGGGAGGGGAGAAACCAAGCATAGGGGGGCGAGATACGAGGGGCAGGGTGCGGATTGAGGAGGGGCAGGGAGTGGAGTGGGTCGGCGAGGGGAAGGAAGAGGCGTGCAGCAGAGGAGGGGAGGGGGGAGGAGAAGGTAAACGAGGGGAGCGCACGGGCGGGGAGGAGCGAATGGCGGGCGGTGGGAAACGGCGAGGGGGGCAGGGAGGGTCAAAAGAGGCGGCAAGGGAGCGGGCACGCGGAGGGTGGGGGCGGGGGGGAGCGGATGGCATGAGGAGGCAGGGGGTGTGACTATGAAGGGGGGACCCGGGCAAGGGGTGTGTACCGGTCGGGGCACGGGATTGACGTGGTACGATCATACCTCGGCTACTACGCCGGATCCCATCAGAACTCCGAAGCTAAGCGCCGGTGGGCGAGAGCAGTACTGGGCTGGGTGACCTCCCGGGAAGTCCTCGTGTTGTACCCATTTATGCCCCTTGCTCGGCACTGTGCCGGGGGAGGGGCAAGCGGGAAAAAGAAAGGACGATTTTAGCGCGTCCGATTTTTTTATTTTCGTTTTTTTTGCCCAAACAACGACTCAGCGGGGTGGGGGCCCCCCGGGGAGGCTTGCCCGTGCGAAGAAACGCCCCGTGCGCACCACCGTTGGGCGGTTGGAAGCCGCACACGGTCGCGGGGGTGGAGAGCGGAAACGGGCAGCCGGGGGAGGGTGGGGGCGGTTGGATGGGACTGGGGTGTACGGGGGGCAGGGGAGTTGAGGGGGCAAGGGGAGGGGCAGCAACGGGCAGGGGCTGGGCCAGCTGAGGGCACGGAAAAGGGGCGGGCAGAGGGTGAGCAGAGGGGCGAGCGATGCAAGGGAGGCACCATAGGGGGGAAACCAGTTGCACGGAGGTGGGAGGTGAGGGGCGTGCGAGGGGGTGGGAAAGGGGCAGGGAGGGGCGGAATGGGAGGACGTGGGTGGGGGGTGGGGGAGGGGAGTGTGCGTGTGTGTGTGAGAAAGAGAGAGAGAGAGAGAGAGAGGGAAAGGGAGGGGGGGAGAGAAGGGTGGGAGGGGGGCTGGTGGTGCGGATGGGCTGATGGTGGCAAGAGGGCAGCAGGGATGGGGAGAAGGGAGCGATAACGAGGGGAACGCAAAGGGCAGGGGGGGAGGAGGGGAGGGGCAGGGAGGGAAGAGGCTGAACGTACAAAGGGGGGAAACGAGGGGCATGGATGGTAGGAAACAAGGGCAGGGGTGCGGGAAATCAAGGGCAGGGAGGGGAGAAGCAATGGGTGAGGGGAAAACAAGGGAGGGGCAGAGGGGGGGCAGGGAGGGAAGAAACGTGGGGCAGGGAGGGGAGAAGCCAAAGACAGGGGCATGGGCAGGCGGGGGCAGGGAGGGAGCAAAGGAGAGGCACGGAGAAAGAAAGGGAGGCGCGGGGAGGGGAGAAACCGGGCGTGGGGGGGCGGAAAATGAGGGGCAGGGCGGGGAGGAGGGAGGGGCAGGGAGGGGAGAAGCTGAGCACACGGAGGGGGGAAAGGTGGGGCAGGGAGGTAGGAAGCCAAGGGCAAGGGGGGGAGAGTGGGGGAGCAGGGAGAGGGGGGAGGTGGGGAGCGGAGAAAGGCGGCGAGGGGCAGGGAGGGGAGAAACCAAGCATAGGGGGGCGAGATACGAGGGGCAGGGTGCGGATTGAGGAGGGGCAGGGAGTGGAGTGGGTCGGCGAGGGGAAGGAAGAGGCGTGCAGCAGAGGAGGGGAGGGGGGAGGAGAAGGTAAACGAGGGGAGCGCACGGGCGGGGAGGAGCGAATGGCGGGCGGTGGGAAACGGCGAGGGGGGCAGGGAGGGTCAAAAGAGGCGGCAAGGGAGCGGGCACGCGGAGGGTGGGGGCGGGGGGGAGCGGATGGCATGAGGAGGCAGGGGGTGTGACTATGAAGGGGGGACCCGGGCAAGGGGTGTGTACCGGTCGGGGCACGGGATTGACGTGGTACGATCATACCTCGGCTACTACGCCGGATCCCATCAGAGCTCCGAAGCTAAGCGCCGGTGGGCGAGAGCAGTACTGGGCTGGGTGACCTCCCGGGAAGTCCTCGTGTTGTACCCATTTATGCCCCTTGCTCGGCACGTGCCGGGGGAGGGGCAAGCGGGAAAAAGAAAGGACGATTTTAGCGCGTCCGATTTTTTTATTTTCGTTTTTTTGCCCAAACAACGACTCAGCGGGGTGGGGGCCCCCCGGGGAGGCTTGCCCGTGCGAAAGAAACGCCCCGTGCGCACCACCGTTGGGCGGTTGGAAGCCGCACACGGTCGCGGGGGTGGAGAGCGGAAACGGGCAGCCGGGGGAGGGTGGGGGCGGTTGGATGGGACTGGGGTGTACGGGGGGCAGGGGAGTTGAGGGGGCAAGGGGAGGGGCAGCAACGGGCAGGGGCTGGGCCAGCTGAGGGCACGGAAAAGGGGCGGGCAGAGGGTGAGCAGAGGGGCGAGCGATGCAAGGGAGGCACCATAGGGGGGAAACCAGTTGCACGGAGGTGGGAGGTGAGGGGCGTGCGAGGGGGTGGGAAAGGGGCAGGGAGGGGCGGAATGGGAGGACGTGGGTGGGGGGTGGGGGAGGGGAGTGTGCGTGTGTGTGTGAGAAAGAGAGAGAGAGAGAGAGAGAGAGAGGGAAAGGGAGGGGGGGAGAGAAGGGTGGGAGGGGGGCTGGTGGTGCGGATGGGCTGATGGTGGCAAGAGGGCAGCAGGGATGGGGAGAAGGGAGCGTAACGAGGGGAACGCAAAGGGCAGGGGGGGAGGAGGGGAGGGGCAGGGAGGGAAGAGGCTGAACGTACAAAGGGGGGAAACGAGGGGCATGGATGGTAGGAAACAAGGGCAGGGGTGCGGGAAATCAAGGGCAGGGAGGGGAGAAGCAATGGGTGAGGGGAAAACAAGGGAGGGGAAGAGGGGGGGCAGGGAGGGAAGAAACGTGGGGCAGGGAGGGGAGAAGCCAAAGACAGGGGCATAGGCAGGCGGGGGCAGGGAGGGAGCAAAGGAGAGGCACGGAGAAAGAAAGGGAGGCGCGGGGAGGGGAGAAACCGGGCGTGGGGGGGCGGAAAATGAGGGGCAGGGCAGGGAGGAGGGAGGGGCAGGGAGGGGAGAAGCTGAGCACACGGAGGGGGAAAAGGTGGGGCAGGGAGGTAGGAAGCCAAGGGCAAGGGGGGGAGAGTGGAGGGGCAGGGAGAGAGGGGAGGTGGGGAGCGGAGAAAGGCGGCGAGGGGCAGGGAGGGGAGAAACCAAGCATAGGGGGGCGAGATACGAGGGGCAGGGTGCGGATTGAGGAGGGGCAGGGAGTGGAGTGGGTCGGCGAGGGGAAGGAAGAGGCGTGCAGCAGAGGAGGGGAGGGGGGAGGAGAAGGTAAACGAGGGGAGCGCACGGGCGGGGAGGAGCGAATGGCGGGTGGTGGGAAACGGCGAGGGGGGCAGGGAGGGTCAAAAGAGGCGGCAAGGGAGCGGGCACGCGGAGGGTGGGGGCGGGGGGAGCGGATGGCATGAGGGGGCAGGGGGTGTGACTATGAAGGGGGGACCCGGGCAAGGGGTGTGTACCGGTCGGGGCACGGGATTGACGTGGTACGATCATACCTCGGCTACTACGCCGGATCCCATCAGAACTCCGAAGCTAAGCGCCGGTGGGCGAGAGCAGTTATTTATTAATAAGGGAAAGCAAATACAAGCCGATTATAATGGTTTTTCCAAGAGTGGGAAATTTTGGCATAACTAATTCGCTATGAGGACGGTATATATATCTTGTAGGAAGATGGGGAAAGAAAGAAGAAGAAGGAAGAATTAAGGAGTAAGAAGTAGTAGGAAAAAGAAAAGAGTGAGCAACACATATATACCCCGAACAACGACTCAGCGGGGTGGGGGCCCCCCGGGGAGGCTTGCCCGTGCGAAGAAACGCCCCGTGCGCACCACCGTTGGGCGGTTGGAAGCCGCACACGGTCGCGGGGGTGGAGAGCGGAAACGGGCAGCCGGGGGAGGGTGGGGGCGGTTGGATGGGACTGGGGTGTACGGGGAGCAGGGGAGTTGAGCGGGCAACGGGAGGGGCAGCAACGGGCAGGGGCTGGGCCAGCTGAGGGCACGGAAAAGGGGCGGGCAGAGGGTGAGCAGAGGGGCGAGCGATGCAAGGGAGGCACCATAGGGGGGAAACCAGTTGCACGGAGGTGGGAGGTGAGGGGCGTGCGAGGGCGTGGGAAAGGGGCAGGGAGGGGCAGAATGGGAGGATGTGGGTGGGGGGTGGGGGAGGGGAGTGTGCGTGTGTGTGTGAGAAAGAGAGAGAGAGAGAGAGAGAGAGAGAGGGAAAGGGAGGGGGGGAGAGAAGGGTGGGAGGGGGGCTGGTGGTGCGGATGGGCTGATGGTGGCAAGAGGGCAGCAGGGATGGGGAGAAGGGAGCGTAACGAGGGGAACGCAAAGGGCAGGGGGGGAGGAGGGGAGGGGCAGGGAGGGAAGAGGCTGAACGTACAAAGGGGGGAAACGAGGGGCATGGATGGTAGGAAACAAGGGCAGGGGTGCGGGAAATCAAGGGCAGGGAGGGGAGAAGCAATGGGTGAGGGGAAAACAAGGGAGGGGCAGAGGGGGGGCAGGGAGGGAAGAAACGTGGGGCAGGGAGGGGAGAAGCCAAAGACAGGGGCATGGGCAGGCGGGGGCAGGGAGGGAGCAAAGGAGAGGCACGGAGAAAGAAAGGGAGGCGCGGGGAGGGGAGAAACCGGGCGTGGGGGGGCGGAAAATGAGGGGCAGGGCGGGGAGGAGGGAGGGGCAGGGAGGGGAGAAGCTGAGCACACGGAGGGGGGAAAGGTGGGGCAGGGAGGTAGGAAGCCAAGGGCAAGGGGGGGAGAGTGGGGGAGCAGGGAGAGGGGGGAGGTGGGGAGCGGAGAAAGGCGGCGAGGGGCAGGGAGGGGAGAAACCAAGCATAGGGGGGCGAGATACGAGGGGCAGGGTGCGGATTGAGGAGGGGCAGGGAGTGGAGTGGGTCGGCGAGGGGAAGGAAGAGGCGTGCAGCAGAGGAGGGGAGGGGGGAGGAGAAGGTAAACGAGGGGAGCGCACGGGCGGGGAGGAGCGAATGGCGGGCGGTGGGAAACGGCGAGGGGGGCAGGGAGGGTCAAAAGAGGCGGCAAGGGAGCGGGCACGCGGAGGGTGGGGGCGGGGGGGAGCGGATGGCATGAGGAGGCAGGGGGTGTGACTATGAAGGGGGGACCCGGGCAAGGGGTGTGTACCGGTCGGGGCACGGGATTGACGTGGTACGATCATACCTCGGCTACTACGCCGGATCCCATCAGAACTCCGAAGCTAAGCGCCGGTGGGCGAGAGCAGTACTGGGCTGGGTGACCTCCCGGGAAGTCCTCGTGTTGTACCCATTTATGCCCCTTGCTCGGCACGTGCCGGGGGAGGGGCAAGCGGGAAAAAGAAAGGACGATTTTAGCGCGTCCGATTTTTTTATTTTCGTTTTTTTGCCCAAACAACGACTCAGCGGGGTGGGGGCCCCCCGGGGAGGCTTGCCCGTGCGAAGAAACGCCCCGTGCGCACCACCGTTGGGCGGTTGGAAGCCGCACACGGTCGCGGGGGTGGAGAGCGGAAACGGGCAGCCGGGGGAGGGTGGGGGCGGTTGGATGGGACTGGGGTGTACGGGGGGCAGGGGAGTTGAGGGGGCAAGGGGAGGGGCAGCAACGGGCAGGGGCTGGGCCAGCTGAGGGCACGGAAAAGGGGCGGGCAGAGGGTGAGCAGAGGGGCGAGCGATGCAAGGGAGGCACCATAGGGGGGAAACCAGTTGCACGGAGGTGGGAGGTGAGGGGCGTGCGAGGGGGTGGGAAAGGGGCAGGGAGGGGCGGAATGGGAGGACGTGGGTGGGGGGTGGGGGAGGGGAGTGTGCGTGTGTGTGTGAGAAAGAGAGAGAGAGAGAGAGAGAGAGAGAGAGGGAAAGGGAGGGGGGGAGAGAAGGGTGGGAGGGGGGCTGGTGGTGCGGATGGGCTGATGGTGGCAAGAGGGCAGCAGGGATGGGGAGAAGGGAGCGAAACGAGGGGAACGCAAAGGGCAGGGGGGGAGGAGGGGAGGGGCAGGGAGGGAAGAGGCTGAACGTACAAAGGGGGGAAACGAGGGGCATGGATGGTAGGAAACAAGGGCAGGGGTGCGGGAAATCAAGGGCAGGGAGGGGAGAAGCAATGGGTGAGGGGAAAACAAGGGAGGGGCAGAGGGGGGGCAGGGAGGGAAGAAACGTGGGGCAGGGAGGGGAGAAGCCAAAGACAGGGGCATGGGCAGGCGGGGGCAGGGAGGGAGCAAAGGAGAGGCACGGAGAAAGAAAGGGAGGCGCGGGGAGGGGAGAAACCGGGCGTGGGGGGGCGGAAAATGAGGGGCAGGGCGGGGAGGAGGGAGGGGCAGGGAGGGGAGAAGCTGAGCACACGGAGGGGGGAAAGGTGGGGCAGGGAGGTAGGAAGCCAAGGGCAAGGGGGGGAGAGTGGGGGAGCAGGGAGAGGGGGGAGGTGGGGAGCGGAGAAAGGCGGCGAGGGGCAGGGAGGGGAGAAACCAAGCATAGGGGGGCGAGATACGAGGGGCAGGGTGCGGATTGAGGAGGGGCAGGGAGTGGAGTGGGTCGGCGAGGGGAAGGAAGAGGCGTGCAGCAGAGGAGGGGAGGGGGGAGGAGAAGGTAAACGAGGGGAGCGCACGGGCGGGGAGGAGCGAATGGCGGGCGGTGGGAAACGGCGAGGGGGGCAGGGAGGGTCAAAAGAGGCGGCAAGGGAGCGGGCACGCGGAGGGTGGGGGCGGGGGGGAGCGGATGGCATGAGGAGGCAGGGGGTGTGACTATGAAGGGGGGACCCGGGCAAGGGGTGTGTACCGGTCGGGGCACGGGATTGACGTGGTACGATCATACCTCGGCTACTACGCCGGATCCCATCAGAGCTCCGAAGCTAAGCGCCGGTGGGCGAGAGCAGTACTGGGCTGGGTGACCTCCCGGGAAGTCCTCGTGTTGTACCCATTTATGCCCCTTGCTCGGCACGTGCCGGGGGAGGGGCAAGCGGGAAAAAGAAAGGACGATTTTAGCGCGTCCGATTTTTTTATTTTCGTTTTTTTGCCCAAACAACGACTCAGCGGGGTGGGGGCCCCCCGGGGAGGCTTGCCCGTGCGAAAGAAACGCCCCGTGCGCACCACCGTTGGGCGGTTGGAAGCCGCACACGGTCGCGGGGGTGGAGAGCGGAAACGGGCAGCCGGGGGAGGGTGGGGGCGGTTGGATGGGACTGGGGTGTACGGGGGGCAGGGGAGTTGAGGGGGCAAGGGGAGGGGCAGCAACGGGCAGGGGCTGGGCCAGCTGAGGGCACGGAAAAGGGGCGGGCAGAGGGTGAGCAGAGGGGCGAGCGATGCAAGGGAGGCACCATAGGGGGGAAACCAGTTGCACGGAGGTGGGAGGTGAGGGGCGTGCGAGGGGGTGGGAAAGGGGCAGGGAGGGGCGGAATGGGAGGACGTGGGTGGGGGGTGGGGGAGGGGAGTGTGCGTGTGTGTGTGAGAAAGAGAGAGAGAGAGAGAGAGAGAGAGAGAGAGGGAAAGGGAGGGGGGGAGAGAAGGGTGGGAGGGGGGCTGGTGGTGCGGATGGGCTGATGGTGGCAAGAGGGCAGCAGGGATGGGGAGAAGGGAGCGTAACGAGGGGAACGCAAAGGGCAGGGGGGGAGGAGGGGAGGGGCAGGGAGGGAAGAGGCTGAACGTACAAAGGGGGGAAACGAGGGGCATGGATGGTAGGAAACAAGGGCAGGGGTGCGGGAAATCAAGGGCAGGGAGGGGAGAAGCAATGGGTGAGGGGAAAACAAGGGAGGGGAAGAGGGGGGGCAGGGAGGGAAGAAACGTGGGGCAGGGAGGGGAGAAGCCAAAGACAGGGGCATAGGCAGGCGGGGGCAGGGAGGGAGCAAAGGAGAGGCACGGAGAAAGAAAGGGAGGCGCGGGGAGGGGAGAAACCGGGCGTGGGGGGGCGGAAAATGAGGGGCAGGGCAGGGAGGAGGGAGGGGCAGGGAGGGGAGAAGCTGAGCACACGGAGGGGGAAAAGGTGGGGCAGGGAGGTAGGAAGCCAAGGGCAAGGGGGGGAGAGTGGAGGGGCAGGGAGAGAGGGGAGGTGGGGAGCGGAGAAAGGCGGCGAGGGGCAGGGAGGGGAGAAACCAAGCATAGGGGGGCGAGATACGAGGGGCAGGGTGCGGATTGAGGAGGGGCAGGGAGTGGAGTGGGTCGGCGAGGGGAAGGAAGAGGCGTGCAGCAGAGGAGGGGAGGGGGGAGGAGAAGGTAAACGAGGGGAGCGCACGGGCGGGGAGGAGCGAATGGCGGGTGGTGGGAAACGGCGAGGGGGGCAGGGAGGGTCAAAAGAGGCGGCAAGGGAGCGGGCACGCGGAGGGTGGGGGCGGGGGGAGCGGATGGCATGAGGGGGCAGGGGGTGTGACTATGAAGGGGGGACCCGGGCAAGGGGTGTGTACCGGTCGGGGCACGGGATTGACGTGGTACGATCATACCTCGGCTACTACGCCGGATCCCATCAGAACTCCGAAGCTAAGCGCCGGTGGGCGAGAGCAGTTATTTATTAATAAGGGAAAGCAAATACAAGCCGATTATAATGGTTTTTCCAAGAGTGGGAAATTTTGGCATAACTAATTCGCTATGAGGACGGTATATATATCTTGTAGGAAGATGGGGAAAGAAAGAAGAAGAAGGAAGAATTAAGGAGTAAGAAGTAGTAGGAAAAAGAAAGGAGTGAGCAACACATATATACCCCGAACAACGACTCAGCGGGGTGGGGGCCCCCCGGGGAGGCTTGCCCGTGCGAAGAAACGCCCCGTGCGCACCACCGTTGGGCGGTTGGAAGCCGCACACGGTCGCGGGGGTGGAGAGCGGAAACGGGCAGCCGGGGGAGGGTGGGGGCGGTTGGATGGGACTGGGGTGTACGGGGAGCAGGGGAGTTGAGCGGGCAACGGGAGGGGCAGCAACGGGCAGGGGCTGGGCCAGCTGAGGGCACGGAAAAGGGGCGGGCAGAGGGTGAGCAGAGGGGCGAGCGATGCAAGGGAGGCACCATAGGGGGGAAACCAGTTGCACGGAGGTGGGAGGTGAGGGGCGTGCGAGGGCGTGGGAAAGGGGCAGGGAGGGGCAGAATGGGAGGATGTGGGTGGGGGGTGGGGGAGGGGAGTGTGCGTGTGTGTGTGAGAAAGAGAGAGAGAGAGAGAGAGAGAGAGAGAGAGGGAAAGGGAGGGGGGGAGAGAAGGGTGGGAGGGGGGCTGGTGGTGCGGATGGGCTGATGGTGGCAAGAGGGCAGCAGGGATGGGGAGAAGGGAGCGTAACGAGGGGAACGCAAAGGGCAGGGGGGGAGGAGGGGAGGGGCAGGGAGGGAAGAGGCTGAACGTACAAAGGGGGGAAACGAGGGGCATGGATGGTAGGAAACAAGGGCAGGGGTGCGGGAAATCAAGGGCAGGGAGGGGAGAAGCAATGGGTGAGGGGAAAACAAGGGAGGGGCAGAGGGGGGGCAGGGAGGGAAGAAACGTGGGGCAGGGAGGGGAGAAGCCAAAGACAGGGGCATGGGCAGGCGGGGGCAGGGAGGGAGCAAAGGAGAGGCACGGAGAAAGAAAGGGAGGCGCGGGGAGGGGAGAAACCGGGCGTGGGGGGGCGGAAAATGAGGGGCAGGGCGGGGAGGAGGGAGGGGCAGGGAGGGGAGAAGCTGAGCACACGGAGGGGGGAAAGGTGGGGCAGGGAGGTAGGAAGCCAAGGGCAAGGGGGGGAGAGTGGGGGAGCAGGGAGAGGGGGGAGGTGGGGAGCGGAGAAAGGCGGCGAGGGGCAGGGAGGGGAGAAACCAAGCATAGGGGGGCGAGATACGAGGGGCAGGGTGCGGATTGAGGAGGGGCAGGGAGTGGAGTGGGTCGGCGAGGGGAAGGAAGAGGCGTGCAGCAGAGGAGGGGAGGGGGGAGGAGAAGGTAAACGAGGGGAGCGCACGGGCGGGGAGGAGCGAATGGCGGGCGGTGGGAAACGGCGAGGGGGGCAGGGAGGGTCAAAAGAGGCGGCAAGGGAGCGGGCACGCGGAGGGTGGGGGCGGGGGGGAGCGGATGGCATGAGGAGGCAGGGGGTGTGACTATGAAGGGGGGACCCGGGCAAGGGGTGTGTACCGGTCGGGGCACGGGATTGACGTGGTACGATCATACCTCGGCTACTACGCCGGATCCCATCAGAACTCCGAAGCTAAGCGCCGGTGGGCGAGAGCAGTACTGGGCTGGGTGACCTCCCGGGAAGTCCTCGTGTTGTACCCATTTATGCCCCTTGCTCGGCACGTGCCGGGGGAGGGGCAAGCGGGAAAAAGAAAGGACGATTTTAGCGCGTCCGATTTTTTTATTTTCGTTTTTTTTGCCCAAACAACGACTCAGCGGGGTGGGGGCCCCCCGGGGAGGCTTGCCCGTGCGAAGAAACGCCCCGTGCGCACCACCGTTGGGCGGTTGGAAGCCGCACACGGTCGCGGGGGTGGAGAGCGGAAACGGGCAGCCGGGGGAGGGTGGGGGCGGTTGGATGGGACTGGGGTGTACGGGGGGCAGGGGAGTTGAGGGGGCAAGGGGAGGGGCAGCAACGGGCAGGGGCTGGGCCAGCTGAGGGCACGGAAAAGGGGCGGGCAGAGGGTGAGCAGAGGGGCGAGCGATGCAAGGGAGGCACCATAGGGGGGAAACCAGTTGCACGGAGGTGGGAGGTGAGGGGCGTGCGAGGGGGTGGGAAAGGGGCAGGGAGGGGCGGAATGGGAGGACGTGGGTGGGGGGTGGGGGAGGGGAGTGTGCGTGTGTGTGTGAGAAAGAGAGAGAGAGAGAGAGAGAGAGAGAGAGGGAAAGGGAGGGGGGGAGAGAAGGGTGGGAGGGGGGCTGGTGGTGCGGATGGGCTGATGGTGGCAAGAGGGCAGCAGGGATGGGGAGAAGGGAGCGAAACGAGGGGAACGCAAAGGGCAGGGGGGGAGGAGGGGAGGGGCAGGGAGGGAAGAGGCTGAACGTACAAAGGGGGGAAACGAGGGGCATGGATGGTAGGAAACAAGGGCAGGGGTGCGGGAAATCAAGGGCAGGGAGGGGAGAAGCAATGGGTGAGGGGAAAACAAGGGAGGGGCAGAGGGGGGGCAGGGAGGGAAGAAACGTGGGGCAGGGAGGGGAGAAGCCAAAGACAGGGGCATGGGCAGGCGGGGGCAGGGAGGGAGCAAAGGAGAGGCACGGAGAAAGAAAGGGAGGCGCGGGGAGGGGAGAAACCGGGCGTGGGGGGGCGGAAAATGAGGGGCAGGGCGGGGAGGAGGGAGGGGCAGGGAGGGGAGAAGCTGAGCACACGGAGGGGGGAAAGGTGGGGCAGGGAGGTAGGAAGCCAAGGGCAAGGGGGGGAGAGTGGGGGAGCAGGGAGAGGGGGGAGGTGGGGAGCGGAGAAAGGCGGCGAGGGGCAGGGAGGGGAGAAACCAAGCATAGGGGGGCGAGATACGAGGGGCAGGGTGCGGATTGAGGAGGGGCAGGGAGTGGAGTGGGTCGGCGAGGGGAAGGAAGAGGCGTGCAGCAGAGGAGGGGAGGGGGGAGGAGAAGGTAAACGAGGGGAGCGCACGGGCGGGGAGGAGCGAATGGCGGGCGGTGGGAAACGGCGAGGGGGGCAGGGAGGGTCAAAAGAGGCGGCAAGGGAGCGGGCACGCGGAGGGTGGGGGCGGGGGGGAGCGGATGGCATGAGGGGGCAGGGGGTGTGACTATGAAGGGGGGACCCGGGCAAGGGGTGTGTACCGGTCGGGGCACGGGATTGACGTGGTACGATCATACCTCGGCTACTACGCCGGATCCCATCAGAGCTCCGAAGCTAAGCGCCGGTGGGCGAGAGCAGTACTGGGCTGGGTGACCTCCCGGGAAGTCCTCGTGTTGTACCCATTTATGCCCCTTGCTCGGCACGTGCCGGGGGAGGGGCAAGCGGGAAAAAGAAAGGACGATTTTAGCGCGTCCGATTTTTTTATTTTCGTTTTTTTGCCCAAACAACGACTCAGCGGGGTGGGGGCCCCCCGGGGAGGCTTGCCCGTGCGAAAGAAACGCCCCGTGCGCACCACCGTTGGGCGGTTGGAAGCCGCACACGGTCGCGGGGGTGGAGAGCGGAAACGGGCAGCCGGGGGAGGGTGGGGGCGGTTGGATGGGACTGGGGTGTACGGGGGGCAGGGGAGTTGAGGGGGCAAGGGGAGGGGCAGCAACGGGCAGGGGCTGGGCCAGCTGAGGGCACGGAAAAGGGGCGGGCAGAGGGTGAGCAGAGGGGCGAGCGATGCAAGGGAGGCACCATAGGGGGGAAACCAGTTGCACGGAGGTGGGAGGTGAGGGGCGTGCGAGGGGGTGGGAAAGGGGCAGGGAGGGGCGGAATGGGAGGACGTGGGTGGGGGGTGGGGGAGGGGAGTGTGCGTGTGTGTGTGAGAAAGAGAGAGAGAGAGAGAGAGAGAGAGAGAGAGGGAAAGGGAGGGGGGGAGAGAAGGGTGGGAGGGGGGCTGGTGGTGCGGATGGGCTGATGGTGGCAAGAGGGCAGCAGGGATGGGGAGAAGGGAGCGTAACGAGGGGAACGCAAAGGGCAGGGGGGGAGGAGGGGAGGGGCAGGGAGGGAAGAGGCTGAACGTACAAAGGGGGGAAACGAGGGGCATGGATGGTAGGAAACAAGGGCAGGGGTGCGGGAAATCAAGGGCAGGGAGGGGAGAAGCAATGGGTGAGGGGAAAACAAGGGAGGGGAAGAGGGGGGGCAGGGAGGGAAGAAACGTGGGGCAGGGAGGGGAGAAGCCAAAGACAGGGGCATAGGCAGGCGGGGGCAGGGAGGGAGCAAAGGAGAGGCACGGAGAAAGAAAGGGAGGCGCGGGGAGGGGAGAAACCGGGCGTGGGGGGGCGGAAAATGAGGGGCAGGGCAGGGAGGAGGGAGGGGCAGGGAGGGGAGAAGCTGAGCACACGGAGGGGGAAAAGGTGGGGCAGGGAGGTAGGAAGCCAAGGGCAAGGGGGGGAGAGTGGAGGGGCAGGGAGAGAGGGGAGGTGGGGAGCGGAGAAAGGCGGCGAGGGGCAGGGAGGGGAGAAACCAAGCATAGGGGGGCGAGATACGAGGGGCAGGGTGCGGATTGAGGAGGGGCAGGGAGTGGAGTGGGTCGGCGAGGGGAAGGAAGAGGCGTGCAGCAGAGGAGGGGAGGGGGGAGGAGAAGGTAAACGAGGGGAGCGCACGGGCGGGGAGGAGCGAATGGCGGGTGGTGGGAAACGGCGAGGGGGGCAGGGAGGGTCAAAAGAGGCGGCAAGGGAGCGGGCACGCGGAGGGTGGGGGCGGGGGGGAGCGGATGGCATGAGGGGGCAGGGGGTGTGACTATGAAGGGGGGACCCGGGCAAGGGGTGTGTACCGGTCGGGGCACGGGATTGACGTGGTACGATCATACCTCGGCTACTACGCCGGATCCCATCAGAACTCCGAAGCTAAGCGCCGGTGGGCGAGAGCAGTTATTTATTAATAAGGGAAAGCAAATACAAGCCGATTATAATGGTTTTTCCAAGAGTGGGAAATTTTGGCATAACTAATTCGCTATGAGGACGGTATATATATCTTGTAGGAAGATGGGGAAAGAAAGAAGAAGAAGGAAGAATTAAGGAGTAAGAAGTAGTAGGAAAAAGAAAAGAGTGAGCAACACATATATACCCCGAACAACGACTCAGCGGGGTGGGGGCCCCCCGGGGAGGCTTGCCCGTGCGAAGAAACGCCCCGTGCGCACCACCGTTGGGCGGTTGGAAGCCGCACACGGTCGCGGGGGTGGAGAGCGGAAACGGGCAGCCGGGGGAGGGTGGGGGCGGTTGGATGGGACTGGGGTGTACGGGGAGCAGGGGAGTTGAGCGGGCAACGGGAGGGGCAGCAACGGGCAGGGGCTGGGCCAGCTGAGGGCACGGAAAAGGGGCGGGCAGAGGGTGAGCAGAGGGGCGAGCGATGCAAGGGAGGCACCATAGGGGGGAAACCAGTTGCACGGAGGTGGGAGGTGAGGGGCGTGCGAGGGCGTGGGAAAGGGGCAGGGAGGGGCAGAATGGGAGGATGTGGGTGGGGGGTGGGGGAGGGGAGTGTGCGTGTGTGTGTGAGAAAGAGAGAGAGAGAGAGAGAGAGAGAGAGAGGGAAAGGGAGGGGGGGAGAGAAGGGTGGGAGGGGGGCTGGTGGTGCGGATGGGCTGATGGTGGCAAGAGGGCAGCAGGGATGGGGAGAAGGGAGCGTAACGAGGGGAACGCAAAGGGCAGGGGGGGAGGAGGGGAGGGGCAGGGAGGGAAGAGGCTGAACGTACAAAGGGGGGAAACGAGGGGCATGGATGGTAGGAAACAAGGGCAGGGGTGCGGGAAATCAAGGGCAGGGAGGGGAGAAGCAATGGGTGAGGGGAAAACAAGGGAGGGGCAGAGGGGGGGCAGGGAGGGAAGAAACGTGGGGCAGGGAGGGGAGAAGCCAAAGACAGGGGCATGGGCAGGCGGGGGCAGGGAGGGAGCAAAGGAGAGGCACGGAGAAAGAAAGGGAGGCGCGGGGAGGGGAGAAACCGGGCGTGGGGGGGCGGAAAATGAGGGGCAGGGCGGGGAGGAGGGAGGGGCAGGGAGGGGAGAAGCTGAGCACACGGAGGGGGGAAAGGTGGGGCAGGGAGGTAGGAAGCCAAGGGCAAGGGGGGGAGAGTGGGGGAGCAGGGAGAGGGGGGAGGTGGGGAGCGGAGAAAGGCGGCGAGGGGCAGGGAGGGGAGAAACCAAGCATAGGGGGGCGAGATACGAGGGGCAGGGTGCGGATTGAGGAGGGGCAGGGAGTGGAGTGGGTCGGCGAGGGGAAGGAAGAGGCGTGCAGCAGAGGAGGGGAGGGGGGAGGAGAAGGTAAACGAGGGGAGCGCACGGGCGGGGAGGAGCGAATGGCGGGCGGTGGGAAACGGCGAGGGGGGCAGGGAGGGTCAAAAGAGGCGGCAAGGGAGCGGGCACGCGGAGGGTGGGGGCGGGGGGGAGCGGATGGCATGAGGAGGCAGGGGGTGTGACTATGAAGGGGGGACCCGGGCAAGGGGTGTGTACCGGTCGGGGCACGGGATTGACGTGGTACGATCATACCTCGGCTACTACGCCGGATCCCATCAGAACTCCGAAGCTAAGCGCCGGTGGGCGAGAGCAGTACTGGGCTGGGTGACCTCCCGGGAAGTCCTCGTGTTGTACCCATTTATGCCCCTTGCTCGGCACGTGCCGGGGGAGGGGCAAGCGGGAAAAAGAAAGGACGATTTTAGCGCGTCCGATTTTTTTATTTTCGTTTTTTTTGCCCAAACAACGACTCAGCGGGGTGGGGGCCCCCCGGGGAGGCTTGCCCGTGCGAAGAAACGCCCCGTGCGCACCACCGTTGGGCGGTTGGAAGCCGCACACGGTCGCGGGGGTGGAGAGCGGAAACGGGCAGCCGGGGGAGGGTGGGGGCGGTTGGATGGGACTGGGGTGTACGGGGGGCAGGGGAGTTGAGGGGGCAAGGGGAGGGGCAGCAACGGGCAGGGGCTGGGCCAGCTGAGGGCACGGAAAAGGGGCGGGCAGAGGGTGAGCAGAGGGGCGAGCGATGCAAGGGAGGCACCATAGGGGGGAAACCAGTTGCACGGAGGTGGGAGGTGAGGGGCGTGCGAGGGGGTGGGAAAGGGGCAGGGAGGGGCGGAATGGGAGGACGTGGGTGGGGGGTGGGGGAGGGGAGTGTGCGTGTGTGTGTGAGAAAGAGAGAGAGAGAGAGAGAGAGAGAGAGAGAGAGGGAAGGGAGGGGGGGAGAGAAGGGTGGGAGGGGGGCTGGTGGTGCGGATGGGCTGATGGTGGCAAGAGGGCAGCAGGGATGGGGAGAAGGGAGCGATAACGAGGGGAACGCAAAGGGCAGGGGGGGAGGAGGGGAGGGGCAGGGAGGGAAGAGGCTGAACGTACAAAGGGGGGAAACGAGGGGCATGGATGGTAGGAAACAAGGGCAGGGGTGCGGGAAATCAAGGGCAGGGAGGGGAGAAGCAATGGGTGAGGGGAAAACAAGGGAGGGGCAGAGGGGGGGCAGGGAGGGAAGAAACGTGGGGCAGGGAGGGGAGAAGCCAAAGACAGGGGCATGGGCAGGCGGGGGCAGGGAGGGAGCAAAGGAGAGGCACGGAGAAAGAAAGGGAGGCGCGGGGAGGGGAGAAACCGGGCGTGGGGGGGCGGAAAATGAGGGGCAGGGCGGGGAGGAGGGAGGGGCAGGGAGGGGAGAAGCTGAGCACACGGAGGGGGGAAAGGTGGGGCAGGGAGGTAGGAAGCCAAGGGCAAGGGGGGGAGAGTGGGGGAGCAGGGAGAGGGGGGAGGTGGGGAGCGGAGAAAGGCGGCGAGGGGCAGGGAGGGGAGAAACCAAGCATAGGGGGGCGAGATACGAGGGGCAGGGTGCGGATTGAGGAGGGGCAGGGAGTGGAGTGGGTCGGCGAGGGGAAGGAAGAGGCGTGCAGCAGAGGAGGGGAGGGGGGAGGAGAAGGTAAACGAGGGGAGCGCACGGGCGGGGAGGAGCGAATGGCGGGCGGTGGGAAACGGCGAGGGGGGCAGGGAGGGTCAAAAGAGGCGGCAAGGGAGCGGGCACGCGGAGGGTGGGGGCGGGGGGGAGCGGATGGCATGAGGAGGCAGGGGGTGTGACTATGAAGGGGGGACCCGGGCAAGGGGTGTGTACCGGTCGGGGCACGGGATTGACGTGGTACGATCATACCTCGGCTACTACGCCGGATCCCATCAGAGCTCCGAAGCTAAGCGCCGGTGGGCGAGAGCAGTACTGGGCTGGGTGACCTCCCGGGAAGTCCTCGTGTTGTACCCATTTATGCCCCTTGCTCGGCACGTGCCGGGGGAGGGGCAAGAAGGAAGAAGAAGGACGATTTAAGCGAGTAAGAAGTTAGTAGGAAAAAGAAAGAGTGAGCAACACATATATTACCCCGAACAACGACTCAGCGGGGTGGGGGCCCCCCGGGGAGGCTTGCCCGTGCGAAGAAACGCCCCGTGCGCACCACCGTTGGGCGGTTGGAAGCCGCACACGGTCGCGGGGGTGGAGAGCGGAAACGGGCAGCCGGGGGAGGGTGGGGGCGGTTGGATGGGACTGGGGTGTACGGGGAGCAGGGGAGTTGAGCGGGCAACGGGGAGGGGCAGCAACGGGCAGGGGCTGGGCCAGCTGAGGGCACGGAAAAGGGGCGGGCAGAGGGTGAGCAGAGGGGCGAGCGATGCAAGGGAGGCACCATAGGGGGGAAACCAGTTGCACGGAGGTGGGAGGTGAGGGGCGTGCGAGGGCGTGGGAAAGGGGCAGGGAGGGGCAGGAATGGGAGGACTGTGGGTGGGGGGTGGGGGAGGGGAGTGTGCGTGTGTGTGTGAGAAAGAGAGAGAGAGAGAGAGAGAGAGAGAGAGAGAGGGAAAGGGAGGGGGGGAGAGAAGGGTGGGAGGGGGGCTGGTGGTGCGGATGGGCTGATGGTGGCAAGAGGGCAGCAGGGATGGGGAGAAGGGAGCGTAACGAGGGGAACGCAAAGGGCAGGGGGGGAGGAGGGGAGGGGCAGGGAGGGAAGAGGCTGAACGTACAAAGGGGGGAAACGAGGGGCATGGATGGTAGGAAACAAGGGCAGGGGTGCGGGAAATCAAGGGCAGGGAGGGGAGAAGCAATGGGTGAGGGGAAAACAAGGGAGGGGAAGAGGGGGGGCAGGGAGGGAAGAAACGTGGGGCAGGGAGGGGAGAAGCCAAAGACAGGGGCATAGGGCAGGCGGGGGCAGGGAGGGAGCAAAGGAGAGGCACGGAGAAAGAAAGGGAGGCGCGGGGAGGGGAGAAACCGGGCGTGGGGGGGCGGAAAATGAGGGGCAGGGCAGGGAGGAGGGAGGGGCAGGGAGGGGAGAAGCTGAGCACACGGAGGGGGAAAAGGTGGGGCAGGGAGGTAGGAAGCCAAGGGCAAGGGGGGGAGAGTGGAGGGGCAGGGAGAGAGGGGAGGTGGGGAGCGGAGAAAGGCGGCGAGGGGCAGGGAGGGGAGAAACCAAGCATAGGGGGGCGAGATACGAGGGGCAGGGTGCGGATTGAGGAGGGGCAGGGAGTGGAGTGGGTCGGCGAGGGGAAGGAAGAGGCGTGCAGCAGAGGAGGGGAGGGGGGAGGAGAAGGTAAACGAGGGGAGCGCACGGGCGGGGAGGAGCGAATGGCGGGTGGTGGGAAACGGCGAGGGGGGCAGGGAGGGTCAAAAGAGGCGGCAAGGGAGCGGGCACGCGGAGGGTGGGGGCGGGGGGAGCGGATGGCATGAGGGGGCAGGGGGTGTGACTATGAAGGGGGGACCCGGGCAAGGGGTGTGTACCGGTCGGGGCACGGGATTGACGTGGTACGATCATACCTCGGCTACTACGCCGGATCCCATCAGAACTCCGAAGCTAAGCGCCGGTGGGCGAGAGCAGTTATTTATTAATAAGGGAAAGCAAATACAAGCCGATTATAATGGTTTTTCCAAGAGTGGGAAATTTTGGCATAACTAATTCGCTATGAGGACGGTATATATATCTTGTAGGAAGATGGGGAAAGAAAGAAGAAGAAGGAAGAATTAAGGAGTAAGAAGTAGTAGGAAAAAGAAAAGAGTGAGCAACACATATATACCCCGAACAACGACTCAGCGGGGTGGGGGCCCCCCGGGGAGGCTTGCCCGTGCGAAGAAACGCCCCGTGCGCACCACCGTTGGGCGGTTGGAAGCCGCACACGGTCGCGGGGGTGGAGAGCGGAAACGGGCAGCCGGGGGAGGGTGGGGGCGGTTGGATGGGACTGGGGTGTACGGGGAGCAGGGGAGTTGAGCGGGCAACGGGAGGGGCAGCAACGGGCAGGGGCTGGGCCAGCTGAGGGCACGGAAAAGGGGCGGGCAGAGGGTGAGCAGAGGGGCGAGCGATGCAAGGGAGGCACCATAGGGGGGAAACCAGTTGCACGGAGGTGGGAGGTGAGGGGCGTGCGAGGGGCGTGGGAAAGGGGCAGGGAGGGGCGGAATGGGAGGATGTGGGTGGGGGGTGGGGGAGGGGAGTGTGCGTGTGTGTGTGAGAAGAAGAGAGAGAGAGAGAGAGAGAGAGAGAGAGAGAGAGGGAAAGGGAGGGGGGGAGAGAAGGGTGGGAGGGGGGCTGGTGGTGCGGATGGGCTGATGGTGGCAAGAGGGCAGCAGGGATGGGGAGAAGGGAGCGTAACGAGGGGAACGCAAAGGGCAGGGGGGGAGGAGGGGAGGGGCAGGGAGGGAAGAGGCTGAACGTACAAAGGGGGGAAACGAGGGGCATGGATGGTAGGAAACAAGGGCAGGGGTGCGGGAAATCAAGGGCAGGGAGGGGAGAAGCAATGGGTGAGGGGAAAACAAGGGAGGGGCAGAGGGGGGGCAGGGAGGGAAGAAACGTGGGGCAGGGAGGGGAGAAGCCAAAGACAGGGGCATGGGCAGGCGGGGGCAGGGAGGGAGCAAAGGAGAGGCACGGAGAAAGAAAGGGAGGCGCGGGGAGGGGAGAAACCGGGCGTGGGGGGGCGGAAAATGAGGGGCAGGGCGGGGAGGAGGGAGGGGCAGGGAGGGGAGAAGCTGAGCACACGGAGGGGGGAAAGGTGGGGCAGGGAGGTAGGAAGCCAAGGGCAAGGGGGGGAGAGTGGGGGAGCAGGGAGAGGGGGGAGGTGGGGAGCGGAGAAAGGCGGCGAGGGGCAGGGAGGGGAGAAACCAAGCATAGGGGGGCGAGATACGAGGGGCAGGGTGCGGATTGAGGAGGGGCAGGGAGTGGAGTGGGTCGGCGAGGGGAAGGAAGAGGCGTGCAGCAGAGGAGGGGAGGGGGGAGGAGAAGGTAAACGAGGGGAGCGCACGGGCGGGGAGGAGCGAATGGCGGGCGGTGGGAAACGGCGAGGGGGGCAGGGAGGGTCAAAAGAGGCGGCAAGGGAGCGGGCACGCGGAGGGTGGGGGCGGGGGGGAGCGGATGGCATGAGGAGGCAGGGGGTGTGACTATGAAGGGGGGACCCGGGCAAGGGGTGTGTACCGGTCGGGGCACGGGATTGACGTGGTACGATCATACCTCGGCTACTACGCCGGATCCCATCAGAACTCCGAAGCTAAGCGCCGGTGGGCGAGAGCAGTACTGGGCTGGGTGACCTCCCGGGAAGTCCTCGTGTTGTACCCATTTATGCCCCTTGCTCGGCACGTGCCGGGGGAGGGGCAAGCGGGAAAAAGAAAGGACGATTTTAGCGCGTCCGATTTTTTTATTTTCGTTTTTTTGCCCAAACAACGACTCAGCGGGGTGGGGGCCCCCCGGGGAGGCTTGCCCGTGCGAAGAAACGCCCCGTGCGCACCACCGTTGGGCGGTTGGAAGCCGCACACGGTCGCGGGGGTGGAGAGCGGAAACGGGCAGCCGGGGGAGGGTGGGGGCGGTTGGATGGGACTGGGGTGTACGGGGGGCAGGGGAGTTGAGGGGGCAAGGGGAGGGGCAGCAACGGGCAGGGGCTGGGCCAGCTGAGGGCACGGAAAAGGGGCGGGCAGAGGGTGAGCAGAGGGGCGAGCGATGCAAGGGAGGCACCATAGGGGGGAAACCAGTTGCACGGAGGTGGGAGGTGAGGGGCGTGCGAGGGGGTGGGAAAGGGGCAGGGAGGGGCGGAATGGGAGGACGTGGGTGGGGGGTGGGGGAGGGGAGTGTGCGTGTGTGTGTGAGAAAGAGAGAGAGAGAGAGAGAGAGAGAGGGAAAGGGAGGGGGGGAGAGAAGGGTGGGAGGGGGGCTGGTGGTGCGGATGGGCTGATGGTGGCAAGAGGGCAGCAGGGATGGGGAGAAGGGAGCGATAACGAGGGGAACGCAAAGGGCAGGGGGGGAGGAGGGGAGGGGCAGGGAGGGAAGAGGCTGAACGTACAAAGGGGGGAAACGAGGGGCATGGATGGTAGGAAACAAGGGCAGGGGTGCGGGAAATCAAGGGCAGGGAGGGGAGAAGCAATGGGTGAGGGGAAAACAAGGGAGGGGCAGAGGGGGGGCAGGGAGGGAAGAAACGTGGGGCAGGGAGGGGAGAAGCCAAAGACAGGGGCATAGGCAGGCGGGGGCAGGGAGGGAGCAAAGGAGAGGCACGGAGAAAGAAAGGGAGGCGCGGGGAGGGGAGAAACCGGGCGTGGGGGGGCGGAAAATGAGGGGCAGGGCAGGGGAGGAGGGAGGGGCAGGGAGGGGAGAAGCTGAGCACACGGAGGGGGGAAAGGTGGGGCAGGGAGGTAGGAAGCCAAGGGCAAGGGGGGGAGAGTGGGGGGCAGGGAGAGGGGGGAGGTGGGGAGCGGAGAAAGGCGGCGAGGGGCAGGGAGGGGAGAAACCAAGCATAGGGGGGCGAGATACGAGGGGCAGGGTGCGGATTGAGGAGGGGCAGGGAGTGGAGTGGGTCGGCGAGGGGAAGGAAGAGGCGTGCAGCAGAGGAGGGGAGGGGGGAGGAGAAGGTAAACGAGGGGAGCGCACGGGCGGGGAGGAGCGAATGGCGGGTGGTGGGAAACGGCGAGGGGGGCAGGGAGGGTCAAAAGAGGCGGCAAGGGAGCGGGCACGCGGAGGGTGGGGGCGGGGGGAGCGGATGGCATGAGGGGGCAGGGGGTGTGACTATGAAGGGGGGACCCGGGCAAGGGGTGTGTACCGGTCGGGGCACGGGATTGACGTGGTACGATCATACCTCGGCTACTACGCCGGATCCCATCAGAACTCCGAAGCTAAGCGCCGGTGGGCGAGAGCAGTTATTTATTAATAAGGGAAAGCAAATACAAGCCGATTATAATGGTTTTTCCAAGAGTGGGAAATTTTGGCATAACTAATTCGCTATGAGGACGGTATATATATCTTGTAGGAAGATGGGGAAAGAAAGAAGAAGAAGGAAGAATTAAGGAGTAAGAAGTAGTAGGAAAAAGAAAGAGTGAGCAACACATATATACCCCGAACAACGACTCAGCGGGGTGGGGGCCCCCCGGGGAGGCTTGCCCGTGCGAAGAAACGCCCCGTGCGCACCACCGTTGGGCGGTTGGAAGCCGCACACGGTCGCGGGGGTGGAGAGCGGAAACGGGCAGCCGGGGGAGGGTGGGGGCGGTTGGATGGGACTGGGGTGTACGGGGAGCAGGGGAGTTGAGGGGGCAACGGGAGGGGCAGCAACGGGCAGGGGCTGGGCCAGCTGAGGGCACGGAAAAGGGGCGGGCAGAGGGTGAGCAGAGGGGCGAGCGATGCAAGGGAGGCACCATAGGGGGGAAACCAGTTGCACGGAGGTGGGAGGTGAGGGGCGTGCGAGGGGGTGGGAAAGGGGCAGGGAGGGGCAGGAATGGGAGGACTGTGGGTGGGGGGTGGGGGAGGGGAGTGTGCGTGTGTGTGTGAGAAAGAGAGAGAGAGAGAGAGAGAGAGAGAGAGAGGGAAAGGGAGGGGGGGAGAGAAGGGTGGGAGGGGGGCTGGTGGTGCGGATGGGCTGATGGTGGCAAGAGGGCAGCAGGGATGGGGAGAAGGGAGCGTAACGAGGGGAACGCAAAGGGCAGGGGGGGAGGAGGGGAGGGGCAGGGAGGGAAGAGGCTGAACGTACAAAGGGGGGAAACGAGGGGCATGGATGGTAGGAAACAAGGGCAGGGGTGCGGGAAATCAAGGGCAGGGAGGGGAGAAGCAATGGGTGAGGGGAAAACAAGGGAGGGGCAGAGGGGGGGCAGGGAGGGAAGAAACGTGGGGCAGGGAGGGGAGAAGCCAAAGACAGGGGCATAGGCAGGCGGGGGCAGGGAGGGAGCAAAGGAGAGGCACGGAGAAAGAAAGGGAGGCGCGGGGAGGGGAGAAACCGGGCGTGGGGGGGCGGAAAATGAGGGGCAGGGCAGGGAGGAGGGAGGGGCAGGGAGGGGAGAAGCTGAGCACACGGAGGGGGAAAGGTGGGGCAGGGAGGTAGGAAGCCAAGGGCAAGGGGGGGAGAGTGGAGGGAGCAGGGAGAGAGGGGGAGGTGGGGAGCGGAGAAAGGCGGCGAGGGGCAGGGAGGGGAGAAACCAAGCATAGGGGGGCGAGATACGAGGGGCAGGGTGCGGATTGAGGAGGGGCAGGGAGTGGAGTGGGTCGGCGAGGGGAAGGAAGAGGCGTGCAGCAGAGGAGGGGAGGGGGGAGGAGAAGGTAAACGAGGGGAGCGCACGGGCGGGGAGGAGCGAATGGCGGGTGGTGGGAAACGGCGAGGGGGGCAGGGAGGGTCAAAAGAGGCGGCAAGGGAGCGGGCACGCGGAGGGTGGGGGCGGGGGGAGCGGATGGCATGAGGGGGCAGGGGGTGTGACTATGAAGGGGGGACCCGGGCAAGGGGTGTGTACCGGTCGGGGCACGGGATTGACGTGGTACGATCATACCTCGGCTACTACGCCGGATCCCATCAGAACTCCGAAGCTAAGCGCCGGTGGGCGAGAGCAGTTATTTATTAATAAGGGAAAGCAAATACAAGCCGATTATAATGGTTTTTCCAAGAGTGGGAAATTTTGGCATAACTAATTCGCTATGAGGACGGTATATATATCTTGTAGGAAGATGGGGAAAGAAAGAAGAAGAAGGAAGAATTAAGGAGTAAGAAGTAGTAGGAAAAAGAAAAGAGTGAGCAACACATATATACCCCGAACAACGACTCAGCGGGGTGGGGGCCCCCCGGGGAGGCTTGCCCGTGCGAAGAAACGCCCCGTGCGCACCACCGTTGGGCGGTTGGAAGCCGCACACGGTCGCGGGGGTGGAGAGCGGAAACGGGCAGCCGGGGGAGGGTGGGGGCGGTTGGATGGGACTGGGGTGTACGGGGAGCAGGGGAGTTGAGCGGGCAACGGGAGGGGCAGCAACGGGCAGGGGCTGGGCCAGCTGAGGGCACGGAAAAGGGGCGGGCAGAGGGTGAGCAGAGGGGCGAGCGATGCAAGGGAGGCACCATAGGGGGGAAACCAGTTGCACGGAGGTGGGAGGTGAGGGGCGTGCGAGGGCGTGGGAAAGGGGCAGGGAGGGGCAGAATGGGAGGATGTGGGTGGGGGGGTGGGGGAGGGGAGTGTGCGTGTGTGTGTGAGAAAGAGAGAGAGAGAGAGAGAGAGAGAGAGAGGGAAAGGGAGGGGGGGAGAGAAGGGTGGGAGGGGGGCTGGTGGTGCGGATGGGCTGATGGTGGCAAGAGGGCAGCAGGGATGGGGAGAAGGGAGCGTAACGAGGGGAACGCAAAGGGCAGGGGGGGAGGAGGGGAGGGGCAGGGAGGGAAGAGGCTGAACGTACAAAGGGGGGAAACGAGGGGCATGGATGGTAGGAAACAAGGGCAGGGGTGCGGGAAATCAAGGGCAGGGAGGGGAGAAGCAATGGGTGAGGGGAAAACAAGGGAGGGGCAGAGGGGGGGCAGGGAGGGAAGAAACGTGGGGCAGGGAGGGGAGAAGCCAAAGACAGGGGCATGGGCAGGCGGGGGCAGGGAGGGAGCAAAGGAGAGGCACGGAGAAAGAAAGGGAGGCGCGGGGAGGGGAGAAACCGGGCGTGGGGGGGCGGAAAATGAGGGGCAGGGCGGGGAGGAGGGAGGGGCAGGGAGGGGAGAAGCTGAGCACACGGAGGGGGGAAAGGTGGGGCAGGGAGGTAGGAAGCCAAGGGCAAGGGGGGGAGAGTGGGGGAGCAGGGAGAGGGGGGAGGTGGGGAGCGGAGAAAGGCGGCGAGGGGCAGGGAGGGGAGAAACCAAGCATAGGGGGGCGAGATACGAGGGGCAGGGTGCGGATTGAGGAGGGGCAGGGAGTGGAGTGGGTCGGCGAGGGGAAGGAAGAGGCGTGCAGCAGAGGAGGGGAGGGGGGAGGAGAAGGTAAACGAGGGGAGCGCACGGGCGGGGAGGAGCGAATGGCGGGCGGTGGGAAACGGCGAGGGGGGCAGGGAGGGTCAAAAGAGGCGGCAAGGGAGCGGGCACGCGGAGGGTGGGGGCGGGGGGGAGCGGATGGCATGAGGAGGCAGGGGGTGTGACTATGAAGGGGGGACCCGGGCAAGGGGTGTGTACCGGTCGGGGCACGGGATTGACGTGGTACGATCATACCTCGGCTACTACGCCGGATCCCATCAGAACTCCGAAGCTAAGCGCCGGTGGGCGAGAGCAGTACTGGGCTGGGTGACCTCCCGGGAAGTCCTCGTGTTGTACCCATTTATGCCCCTTGCTCGGCACGTGCCGGGGGAGGGGCAAGCGGGAAAAAGAAAGGACGATTTTAGCGCGTCCGATTTTTTTATTTTCGTTTTTTTTGCCCAAACAACGACTCAGCGGGGTGGGGGCCCCCCGGGGAGGCTTGCCCGTGCGAAGAAACGCCCCGTGCGCACCACCGTTGGGCGGTTGGAAGCCGCACACGGTCGCGGGGGTGGAGAGCGGAAACGGGCAGCCGGGGGAGGGTGGGGGCGGTTGGATGGGACTGGGGTGTACGGGGGGCAGGGGAGTTGAGGGGGCAAGGGGAGGGGCAGCAACGGGCAGGGGCTGGGCCAGCTGAGGGCACGGAAAAGGGGCGGGCAGAGGGTGAGCAGAGGGGCGAGCGATGCAAGGGAGGCACCATAGGGGGGAAACCAGTTGCACGGAGGTGGGAGGTGAGGGGCGTGCGAGGGGGTGGGAAAGGGGCAGGGAGGGGCGGAATGGGAGGACGTGGGTGGGGGGTGGGGGAGGGGAGTGTGCGTGTGTGTGTGAGAAAGAGAGAGAGAGAGAGAGAGAGAGGGAAAGGGAGGGGGGGAGAGAAGGGTGGGAGGGGGGCTGGTGGTGCGGATGGGCTGATGGTGGCAAGAGGGCAGCAGGGATGGGGAGAAGGGAGCGTAACGAGGGGAACGCAAAGGGCAGGGGGGGAGGAGGGGAGGGGCAGGGAGGGAAGAGGCTGAACGTACAAAGGGGGGAAACGAGGGGCATGGATGGTAGGAAACAAGGGCAGGGGTGCGGGAAATCAAGGGCAGGGAGGGGAGAAGCAATGGGTGAGGGGAAAACAAGGGAGGGGCAGAGGGGGGGCAGGGAGGGAAGAAACGTGGGGCAGGGAGGGGAGAAGCCAAAGACAGGGGCATAGGCAGGCGGGGGCAGGGAGGGAGCAAAGGAGAGGCACGGAGAAAGAAAGGGAGGCGCGGGGAGGGGAGAAACCGGGCGTGGGGGGGCGGAAAATGAGGGGCAGGGCGGGGAGGAGGGAGGGGCAGGGAGGGGAGAAGCTGAGCACACGGAGGGGGGAAAGGTGGGGCAGGGAGGTAGGAAGCCAAGGGCAAGGGGGGGAGAGTGGGGGAGCAGGGAGAGAGGGGAGGTGGGGAGCGGAGAAAGGCGGCGAGGGGCAGGGAGGGGAGAAACCAAGCATAGGGGGGCGAGATACGAGGGGCAGGGTGCGGATTGAGGAGGGGCAGGGAGTGGAGTGGGTCGGCGAGGGGAAGGAAGAGGCGTGCAGCAGAGGAGGGGAGGGGGGAGGAGAAGGTAAACGAGGGGAGCGCACGGGCGGGGAGGAGCGAATGGCGGGCTGGTGGGAAACGGCGAGGGGGGCAGGGAGGGTCAAAAGAGGCGGCAAGGGAGCGGGCACGCGGAGGGTGGGGGCGGGGGGAGCGGATGGCATGAGGGGGCAGGGGGTGTGACTATGAAGGGGGGACCCGGGCAAGGGGTGTGTACCGGTCGGGGCACGGGATTGACGTGGTACGATCATACCTCGGCTACTACGCCGGATCCCATCAGAACTCCGAAGCTAAGCGCCGGTGGGCGAGAGCAGTTATTTATTAATAAGGGAAAGCAAATACAAGCCGATTATAATGGTTTTTCCAAGAGTGGGAAATTTTGGCATAACTAATTCGCTATGAGGACGGTATATATATCTTGTAGGAAGATGGGGAAAGAAAGAAGAAGAAGGAAGAATTAAGGAGTAAGAAGTAGTAGGAAAAAGAAAAGAGTGAGCAACACATATATACCCCGAACAACGACTCAGCGGGGTGGGGGCCCCCCGGGGAGGCTTGCCCGTGCGAAGAAACGCCCCGTGCGCACCACCGTTGGGCGGTTGGAAGCCGCACACGGTCGCGGGGGTGGAGAGCGGAAACGGGCAGCCGGGGGAGGGTGGGGGCGGTTGGATGGGACTGGGGTGTACGGGGAGCAGGGGAGTTGAGCGGGCAACGGGAGGGGCAGCAACGGGCAGGGGCTGGGCCAGCTGAGGGCACGGAAAAGGGGCGGGCAGAGGGTGAGCAGAGGGGCGAGCGATGCAAGGGAGGCACCATAGGGGGGAAACCAGTTGCACGGAGGTGGGAGGTGAGGGGCGTGCGAGGGGGTGGGAAAGGGGCAGGGAGGGGCAGGAATGGGAGGACGTGGGTGGGGGGTGGGGGAGGGGAGTGTGCGTGTGTGTGTGAGAAAGAGAGAGAGAGAGAGAGAGAGAGAGAGAGGGAAAGGGAGGGGGGGAGAGAAGGGTGGGAGGGGGGCTGGTGGTGCGGATGGGCTGATGGTGGCAAGAGGGCAGCAGGGATGGGGAGAAGGGAGCGTAACGAGGGGAACGCAAAGGGCAGGGGGGGAGGAGGGGAGGGGCAGGGAGGGAAGAGGCTGAACGTACAAAGGGGGGAAACGAGGGGCATGGATGGTAGGAAACAAGGGCAGGGGTGCGGGAAATCAAGGGCAGGGAGGGGAGAAGCAATGGGTGAGGGGAAAACAAGGGAGGGGCAGAGGGGGGGCAGGGAGGGAAGAAACGTGGGGCAGGGAGGGGAGAAGCCAAAGACAGGGGCATAGGGCAGGCGGGGGCAGGGAGGGAGCAAAGGAGAGGCACGGAGAAAGAAAGGGAGGCGCGGGGAGGGGAGAAACCGGGCGTGGGGGGGCGGAAAATGAGGGGCAGGGCGGGGAGGAGGGAGGGGCAGGGAGGGGAGAAGCTGAGCACACGGAGGGGGGAAAGGTGGGGCAGGGAGGTAGGAAGCCAAGGGCAAGGGGGGGAGAGTGGGGGAGCAGGGAGAGAGGGGGAGGTGGGGAGCGGAGAAAGGCGGCGAGGGGCAGGGAGGGGAGAAACCAAGCATAGGGGGGCGAGATACGAGGGGCAGGGTGCGGATTGAGGAGGGGCAGGGAGTGGAGTGGGTCGGCGAGGGGAAGGAAGAGGCGTGCAGCAGAGGAGGGGAGGGGGGAGGAGAAGGTAAACGAGGGGAGCGCACGGGCGGGGAGGAGCGAATGGCGGGCGGTGGGAAACGGCGAGGGGGGCAGGGAGGGTCAAAAGAGGCGGCAAGGGAGCGGGCACGCGGAGGGTGGGGGCGGGGGGAGCGGATGGCATGAGGGGCAGGGGGTGTGACTATGAAGGGGGGACCCGGGCAAGGGGTGTGTACCGGTCGGGGCACGGGATTGACGTGGTACGATCATACCTCGGCTACTACGCCGGATCCCATCAGAACTCCGAAGCTAAGCGCCGGTGGGCGAGAGCAGTTATTTATTAATAAGGGAAAGCAAATACAAGCCGATTATAATGGTTTTTCCAAGAGTGGGAAATTTTGGCATAACTAATTCGCTATGAGGACGGTATATATCTTGTAGGAAGATGGGGAAAGAAAGAAGAAGAAGGAAGAATTAAGGAGTAAGAAGTAGTAGGAAAAAGAAAAGAGTGAGCAACACATATATACCCCGAACAACGACTCAGCGGGGTGGGGGCCCCCCGGGGAGGCTTGCCCGTGCGAAGAAACGCCCCGTGCGCACCACCGTTGGGCGGTTGGAAGCCGCACACGGTCGCGGGGGTGGAGAGCGGAAACGGGCAGCCGGGGGAGGGTGGGGGCGGTTGGATGGGACTGGGGTGTACGGGGGAGCAGGGGAGTTGAGGGGGCAACGGGGAGGGGCAGCAACGGGCAGGGGCTGGGCCAGCTGAGGGCACGGAAAAGGGGCGGGCAGAGGGTGAGCAGAGGGGCGAGCGATGCAAGGGAGGCACCATAGGGGGGAAACCAGTTGCACGGAGGTGGGAGGTGAGGGGCGTGCGAGGGGCGTGGGAAAGGGGCAGGGAGGGGCAGGAATGGGAGGACTGTGGGTGGGGGGTGGGGGAGGGGAGTGTGCGTGTGTGTGTGAGAAAGAGAGAGAGAGAGAGAGAGAGAGAGAGAGGGAAAGGGAGGGGGGGAGAGAAGGGTGGGAGGGGGGCTGGTGGTGCGGATGGGCTGATGGTGGCAAGAGGGCAGCAGGGATGGGGAGAAGGGAGCGTAACGAGGGGAACGCAAAGGGCAGGGGGGGAGGAGGGGAGGGGCAGGGAGGGAAGAGGCTGAACGTACAAAGGGGGGAAACGAGGGGCATGGATGGTAGGAAACAAGGGCAGGGGTGCGGGAAATCAAGGGCAGGGAGGGGAGAAGCAATGGGTGAGGGGAAAACAAGGGAGGGGCAGAGGGGGGGCAGGGAGGGAAGAAACGTGGGGCAGGGAGGGGAGAAGCCAAAGACAGGGGCATGGGCAGGCGGGGGCAGGGAGGGAGCAAAGGAGAGGCACGGAGAAAGAAAGGGAGGCGCGGGGAGGGGAGAAACCGGGCGTGGGGGGGCGGAAAATGAGGGGCAGGGCGGGGAGGAGGGAGGGGCAGGGAGGGGAGAAGCTGAGCACACGGAGGGGGGAAAGGTGGGGCAGGGAGGTAGGAAGCCAAGGGCAAGGGGGGGAGAGTGGGGGAGCAGGGAGAGGGGGGAGGTGGGGAGCGGAGAAAGGCGGCGAGGGGCAGGGAGGGGAGAAACCAAGCATAGGGGGGCGAGATACGAGGGGCAGGGTGCGGATTGAGGAGGGGCAGGGAGTGGAGTGGGTCGGCGAGGGGAAGGAAGAGGCGTGCAGCAGAGGAGGGGAGGGGGGAGGAGAAGGTAAACGAGGGGAGCGCACGGGCGGGGAGGAGCGAATGGCGGGCGGTGGGAAACGGCGAGGGGGGCAGGGAGGGTCAAAAGAGGCGGCAAGGGAGCGGGCACGCGGAGGGTGGGGGCGGGGGGGAGCGGATGGCATGAGGAGGCAGGGGGTGTGACTATGAAGGGGGGACCCGGGCAAGGGGTGTGTACCGGTCGGGGCACGGGATTGACGTGGTACGATCATACCTCGGCTACTACGCCGGATCCCATCAGAACTCCGAAGCTAAGCGCCGGTGGGCGAGAGCAGTACTGGGCTGGGTGACCTCCCGGGAAGTCCTCGTGTTGTACCCATTTATGCCCCTTGCTCGGCACGTGCCGGGGGAGGGGCAAGCGGGAAAAAGAAAGGACGATTTTAGCGCGTCCGATTTTTTTATTTTCGTTTTTTTGCCCAAACAACGACTCAGCGGGGTGGGGGCCCCCCGGGGAGGCTTGCCCGTGCGAAGAAACGCCCCGTGCGCACCACCGTTGGGCGGTTGGAAGCCGCACACGGTCGCGGGGGTGGAGAGCGGAAACGGGCAGCCGGGGGAGGGTGGGGGCGGTTGGATGGGACTGGGGTGTACGGGGGGCAGGGGAGTTGAGGGGGCAAGGGGAGGGGCAGCAACGGGCAGGGGCTGGGCCAGCTGAGGGCACGGAAAAGGGGCGGGCAGAGGGTGAGCAGAGGGGCGAGCGATGCAAGGGAGGCACCATAGGGGGGAAACCAGTTGCACGGAGGTGGGAGGTGAGGGGCGTGCGAGGGGGTGGGAAAGGGGCAGGGAGGGGCGGAATGGGAGGACGTGGGTGGGGGGTGGGGGAGGGGAGTGTGCGTGTGTGTGTGAGAAGAGAGAGAGAGAGAGAGAGAGAGAGAGAGAGGGAAAGGGAGGGGGGGAGAGAAGGGTGGGAGGGGGGCTGGTGGTGCGGATGGGCTGATGGTGGCAAGAGGGCAGCAGGGATGGGGAGAAGGGAGCGTAACGAGGGGAACGCAAAGGGCAGGGGGGGAGGAGGGGAGGGGCAGGGAGGGAAGAGGCTGAACGTACAAAGGGGGGAAACGAGGGGCATGGATGGTAGGAAACAAGGGCAGGGGTGCGGGAAATCAAGGGCAGGGAGGGGAGAAGCAATGGGTGAGGGGAAAACAAGGGAGGGGCAGAGGGGGGGCAGGGAGGGAAGAAACGTGGGGCAGGGAGGGGAGAAGCCAAAGACAGGGGCATAGGGCAGGCGGGGGCAGGGAGGGAGCAAAGGAGAGGCACGGAGAAAGAAAGGGAGGCGCGGGGAGGGGAGAAACCGGGCGTGGGGGGGCGGAAAATGAGGGGCAGGGCGGGGAGGAGGGAGGGGCAGGGAGGGGAGAAGCTGAGCACACGGAGGGGGAAAGGTGGGGCAGGGAGGTAGGAAGCCAAGGGCAAGGGGGGGAGAGTGGGGGAGCAGGGAGAGGGGGGAGGTGGGGAGCGGAGAAAGGCGGCGAGGGGCAGGGAGGGGAGAAACCAAGCATAGGGGGGCGAGATACGAGGGGCAGGGTGCGGATTGAGGAGGGGCAGGGAGTGGAGTGGGTCGGCGAGGGGAAGGAAGAGGCGTGCAGCAGAGGAGGGGAGGGGGGAGGAGAAGGTAAACGAGGGGAGCGCACGGGCGGGGAGGAGCGAATGGCGGGCGGTGGGAAACGGCGAGGGGGGCAGGGAGGGTCAAAAGAGGCGGCAAGGGAGCGGGCACGCGGAGGGTGGGGGCGGGGGGGAGCGGATGGCATGAGGGGGCAGGGGGTGTGACTATGAAGGGGGGACCCGGGCAAGGGGTGTGTACCGGTCGGGGCACGGGATTGACGTGGTACGATCATACCTCGGCTACTACGCCGGATCCCATCAGAACTCCGAAGCTAAGCGCCGGTGGGCGAGAGCAGTACTGGGCTGGGTGACCTCCCGGGAAGTCCTCGTGTTGTACCCATTTATGCCCCTTGCTCGGCACGTGCCGGGGGGAGGGGCAAGCGGGAAAAAGAAAGGACGATTTTAGCGCGTCCGATTTTTTTTTATTTTCGTTTTTTTGCCCAAACAACGACTCAGCGGGGTGGGGGCCCCCCCGGGGAGGCTTGCCCGTGCGAAGAAAACGCCCCCGTGCGCACCACCGTTGGGCGGTTGGGAAGCCGCACACGGTCGCGGGGGTGGAGAGCGGAAACGGGCAGCCGGGGGAGGGTGGGGGCGGGTTGGATGGGACTGGGGTGTACGGGGGGCAGGGGAGTTGAGGGGGCAAGGGGAGGGGCAGCAACGGGCAGGGGCTGGGCCAGCTGAGGGCACGGAAAAGGGGCGGGCAGAGGGTGAGCAGAGGGGCGAGCGATGCAAGGGAGGCACCATAGGGGGGAAACCAGTTGCACGGAGGTGGGAGGTGAGGGGCGTGCGAGGGGGTGGGAAAGGGGCAGGGAGGGGCAGGAATGGGAGGATGTGGGTGGGGGGTGGGGGAGGGGAGTGTGCGTGTGTGTGTGAGAAAGAGAGAGAGAGAGAGAGAGAGAGAGAGAGAGAGAGAGGGAAAGGGAGGGGGGGAGAGAAGGGTGGGAGGGGGGCTGGTGGTGCGGATGGGCTGATGGTGGCAAGAGGGCAGCAGGGATGGGGAGAAGGGAGCGTAACGAGGGGAACGCAAAGGGCAGGGGGGGAGGAGGGGAGGGGCAGGGAGGGAAGAGGCTGAACGTACAAAGGGGGGAAACGAGGGGCATGGATGGTAGGAAACAAGGGCAGGGGTGCGGGAAATCAAGGGCAGGGAGGGGAGAAGCAATGGGTGAGGGGAAAACAAGGGAGGGGCAGAGGGGGGGCAGGGAGGGAAGAAACGTGGGGCAGGGAGGGGAGAAGCCAAAGACAGGGGCATGGCAGGCGGGGGCAGGGAGGGAGCAAAGGAGAGGCACGGAGAAAGAAAGGGAGGCGCGGGGAGGGGAGAAACCGGGCGTGGGGGGGGCGGAAAATGAGGGGCAGGGCGGGGAGGAGGGAGGGGCAGGGAGGGGAGAAGCTGAGCACACGGAGGGGGAAAGGTGGGGCAGGGAGGTAGGAAGCCAAGGGCAAGGGGGGGAGAGTGGGGGAGCAGGGAGAGGGGGGAGGTGGGGAGCGGAGAAAGGCGGCGAGGGGCAGGGAGGGGAGAAACCAAGCATAGGGGGGCGAGATACGAGGGGCAGGGTGCGGATTGAGGAGGGGCAGGGAGTGGAGTGGGTCGGCGAGGGGAAGGAAGAGGCGTGCAGCAGAGGAGGGGAGGGGGGAGGAGAAGGTAAACGAGGGGAGCGCACGGGCGGGGAGGAGCGAATGGCGGGCGGTGGGAAACGGCGAGGGGGGCAGGGAGGGTCAAAAGAGGCGGCAAGGGAGCGGGCACGCGGAGGGTGGGGGCGGGGGGGAGCGGATGGCATGAGGGGGCAGGGGGTGTGACTATGAAGGGGGGGACCCGGGCAAGGGGTGTGTACCGGTCGGGGCACGGATTGACGTGGTACGATCATACCTCGGCTACTACGCCGGATCCCATCAGAACTCCGAAGCTAAGCGCCGGTGGGCGAGAGCAGTACTGGGCTGGGTGACCTCCCGGGAAGTCCCTCGTGTTGTACCCATTTATGCCCCTTGCTCGGCATGTGCCGGGGGAGGGGCAAGCGGGAAAAAGAAAGGACGATTTTAGCGCGTCCGATTTTTTTATTTTCGTTTTTTTTGCCCAAACAACGACTCAGCGGGGTGGGGGCCCCCCGGGGAGGCTTGCCCGTGCGAAGAAACGCCCCGTGCGCAACACCGTTTGGGCGGTTGGAAGCCGCACACGGTCGCGGGGGTGGAGAGCGGAAACGGGCAGCCGGGGGAGGGTGGGGGCGGTTGGATGGGACTGGGGTGTACGGGGGGCAGGGGAGTTGAGGGGGCAAGGGGAGGGGCAGCAACGGGCAGGGGCTGGGCCAGCTGAGGGCACGGAAAAGGGGCGGGCAGAGGGTGAGCAGAGGGGGCGAGCGATGCAAGGGAGGCACCATAGGGGGGAAACCAGTTGCACGGAGGTGGGAGGTGAGGGGCGTGCGAGGGGTGGGAAAGGGGCAGGGAGGGGCGGAATGGGAGGACGTGGGTGGGGGGGTGGGGGAGGGGAGTGTGCGTGTGTGTGTGAGAAAGAGAGAGAGAGAGAGAGAGAGAGAGAGAAGAGAGAGAGGAAAGGGAGGGGGGGGAGAGAAGGGTGGAGGGGGGCTGGTGGTGCGGATGGGCTGATGGTGGCAAGAGGGCAGCAGGGATGGGGAGAAGGGAGCATAACGAGGGGAACGCAAAGGGCAGGGGGGGAGGAGGGGAGGGGCAGGGAGGGAAGAGGCTGAACGTACAAAGGGGGGGAACGAGGGGGCATGGATGGTAGGAAACAAGGGCAGGGGTGCGGGAAATCAAGGGCAGGGAGGGGAGAAGCAATGGGTGAGGGGAAAACAAGGGAGGGGCAGAGGGGGGCAGGGAGGGAAGAAACGTGGGGCAGGAGGGAGACGCCAAAGACAGGGGCATGGGCAGGCGGGGCAGGGAGGGAGCAAAGGAGAGGCACGGAGAAAGAAAGGGAGGCGCGGGAGGGGAGAAACCGGGCGTGGGGGGGCGGAAAATGAGGGCAGGGCGGGGAGGAGGGAGGGGCAGGAGGGGAGAAGCTGAGCACACGGAGGGGGGAAAGGTGGGCAGGGAGGTAGGAAGCCAAGGGCAAGGGGGGGAGAGTGGGGTGGAGCAGGGAGAGGGGGGAGGTGGGGAGCGGAGAAGGCGGCGAGGGCATGGAGGGGAGAAACCAAGCATAGGGGGGCGAGATACGAGGGCAGGGTCGCGGATTTGAGGAGGGGCAGGGATGGTGGAGTGGGTCGGCGAGGGGAAGGAAGAGGTGTGCAGCAGAGGAGGGGAGGGGGGAGAGAAGGTAAACGAGGGGAGCGCACGGGCGGGAGGAGCGAATGGCGGGCGGTGGGAACGGCGAGGGGGGCAGGGAGGGTCAAAGAGGCGGCAAGGGAGCGGGCACGCGGAGGGTGGGGGCGGGGGGAGCGGATGGCATGAGAGGTGCAGGGGTGTGACTATGAAGGGGGGACCCGGGCAAGGGGTGTGTACCGGTCGGGGGCACGGGATTGACGTGGTACGATCATACCTCGGCTACTACGCCGGATCCCATCAGAACTCCGAAGCTAAGCGCCGGTGGGCGAGAGCAGTACTGGGCTGGGTGACCTCCCGGGAAGTCCTCGTGTTGTACCCATTTATGCCCCTTGCTCGGCACGTGCCGGGGGAGGGGCAAGCGGGAAAAAGAAAGGACGATTTTAGCGCGTCCGATTTTTTTATTTTCGTTTTTTTGCCCAAACAACGACTCAGCGGGGTGGGGGCCCCCCGGGGAGGCTTGCCCGTGCGAAGAAACGCCCCGTGCGCACCACCGTTGGGCGGTTGGAAGCCGCACACGGTCGCGGGGGTGGAGAGCGGAAACGGGCAGCCGGGGAGGGTGGGGGCGGTTGGATGGGACTGGGGTGTACGGGGGGCAGGGGAGTTGAGGGGGCAAGGGGAGGGGCAGCAACGGGCAGGGGCTGGGCCAGCTGAGGGCACGGAAAAGGGGCGGGCAGAGGGTGAGCAGAGGGGCGAGCGATGCAAGGGAGGCACCATAGGGGGGAAACCAGTTGCACGGAGGTGGGAGGTGAGGGGCGTGCGAGGGGGTGGGAAAGGGGCAGGGAGGGGCGGAATGGGAGGACGTGGGTGGGGGTGGGGGGAGGGGAGTGTGCGTGTGTGTGTGAGAAAGAGAGAGAGAGAGAGAGAGAGGGAAAGGGAGGGGGGGAGAGAAGGGTGGGAGGGGGGCTGGTGGTGCGGATGGGCTGATGGTGGCAAGAGGGCAGCAGGGATGGGGAGAAGGGAGCGTAACGAGGGAACGCAAAGGGCAGGGGGGGAGGAGGGGAGGGGCAGGGAGGGAAGAGGCTGAACGTACAAAGGGGGAAACGAGGGGCATGGATGGTAGGAAACAAGGGCAGGGGTGCGGGAAATCAAGGGCAGGGAGGGGAGAAGCAATGGTGAGGGGAAAACAAGGGAGGGGCAGAGGGGGGGCAGGGAGGAAGAAACGTGGGGCAGGGAGGGGAGAAGCCAAAGACAGGGGCATGGGCAGGCGGGGGCAGGGAGGGAGCAAAGGAGAGGCACGGAAAGAAAGGGAGGCGCGGGAGGGGAGAAACCGGGCGTGGGGGGGCGGAAAATGAGGGCAGGGCGGGGAGGAGGGAGGGGCAGGGAGGGGAGAAGCTGAGCACACGGAGGGGGAAAAGGTGGGGCAGGGAGGTAGGAAGCCAAGGGCAAGGGGGGAGAGTGGGGGGCAGGGAGAGGGGGAGGTGGGGAGCGGAGAAGGCGGCGAGGGGCAGGGAGGGGAGAAACCAAGCATAGGGGGGCGAGATACGAGGGGCAGGGTGCGGATTGAGGAGGGGCAGGGAGTGGAGTGGGTCGGCGAGGGGAAGGAAGAGGCGTGCAGCAGAGGAGGGGAGGGGGGAGGAGAAGGTAAACGAGGGGAGCGCACGGGCGGGAGGAGCGAATGGCGGGCGGTGGGAAACGGCGAGGGGGGCAGGGAGGGTCAAAAGAGGCGGCAAGGGAGCGGGCACGCGGAGGGTGGGGGCGGGGGGAGCGGATGGCATGAGGAGGCAAGGGGTGTGACTATGAAGGGGGACCCGGCAAGGGGTGTGTACCGGTCGGGCACGGGATTGACGTGGTACGATCATACCTCGGCTACTACG